ACTCCTCTTTACACAATTCTACTCTCAGACTGCGTCCACCACAAATAAACACTGCATTATTCACAACCCGACAAGTAATATATGTAACAACGTAAAAATACAGTATACATAGAGATAAACACAAACCAGTAAAAAAAAAAAAAAAAAAAAAAAAAAAACACCAGTAACACGTCTATTAAGGTAATTCTGCAAATATAAAGGACAAATGTGCTCCATGAAACACCCTTGAAGAACACTGAGAGGACCTGAAATGTACATAAAAGGAGTAGTTTCCCATCATTTAAATAACTCTTAAAAGTGAGTAATGGTTGTATTTTTTGGTTAAGATCATTCCTATTCAGACAACACAAAGGAGGTGGGGAACTGCCACATAGGGCATATGAGAAAGTGCTAACAGTATTTACTGTATATATAGGACACATACGGAGTAATTCACTGCCCATCACAATCATGCTTCATAGATGGAAGTAGCCCAACAGACACATTTCACTCCAACTCATGTGATGGCACAGAGATGAAGCCAAATGCTGTAAGTACAGGGTAACAGTGTGCTGCTAAATGCACAATAATCAAGCCACTAGAAGACAGAAAACAGAGAGCCAAGTGCCAGACCAGTTGCTGCTCCAGCGAGCATGCCCAGAGCCACATCTCCTCCGTCGTCACGCTGGCGTTCGCGAATAACAACATGATTCACTCCAGGAGCAGGGTACCCACCTAAACCATAAAACCATAATGTTTTGTGCAGGCATGTAGATTAAAAAAAGACGCTCCAACACAAAGATCAATTGGACTTGAGAAGCTTGTTGCATTTTTGCAAACTATCCTATTTTATGTCACTGAGCGCCATCATACATTCAATATGGTCATATGCTGAGAAATGGGCGGTTATTTACCTTGGTACTGGTAGGGATAAGCTACAGCGTAGGGCTGCCCATCAGCAGAGTATACAATCTGTGTAGCCTGTTGTGGCGCTGTAACGTACTCTCCATACAGACCCGGGGCAAAACCCTGCTGGAAAATGAAGAAAAGGCCATTAAGACTGTGTTGATCCTCAGCGGGAGGCCAGTACCAGCACATTACTAAAGAGTCATTTGATTTAGTGTTAACTTCACAAATACTGCTAAGTGGAGCTTTTACACTTCCATTACTACACCAGTAGATGGTGGTAGCCTCCAACTGTGTTTGTTGTTACGTAATAGTCTTTTTTTCTTCTTCTATAATCTAGCACGTTACCTTAGTTCACCCCTAAAAAGGATCATTGTCAATTCAAGCCAAATTGTGTAGTGGAACATAAATACTGATTAAATATGACATACAGTGCAAATTATGAATACAGTATAATCAGATTATATTATACATAACCTAATGAAATATTTGTATACCTTTAACAATGACTGTCTGCTGTTGTAGATGTTAACAGTAACTCATTATAAATAAAAACAAATTGTACCTGTAAAACACTAGTAACAATCCTATTCAGAGGTTTACTCAACTGAGTTTGGCCATTTTATTGAGGAAAAGAAAGTAATGTTAAAGCCTGAAATGCAAAAGTTACATTGCCAGTAGCTTTAACAAAAAAAAAAACAGTGTTAAACCAAAATTAACATAATTTTAGTCATATGCATACTGTTTATGCCTTTTACCTGGGGTGGGGCATATTCTGAGTAGGGGGGGGGAGCAGATGCCATCACTTCCTGTGCAAATCCGACCTGAGGAGATGCAACCACCTAAAAATAAAAAAATCAACAAAAATGAGGCCAACTCGCCTGACAGTGGAGAATGAACACTAACAGAACTGAGCTACGTGACGTTTGGACAGCAGCAGAGAGAAACCATCATAAAGACCGCTCCTCCTGCTGCACGGAGGTTACTGTCATAGAGGTATAATGAAAACACACAATACACATACACACGTAACAAGACTTGTTTCACACAGCCGGGAACAAGTAAGAGAAATCAGTCTTACATTCTTATTTTGTTAAACAAATCAAAACTCAAGTAACTGAAGGAGTAGCAGAAACTCACCATATTAATTCTGGCATCCTGCAGTGCCATGGTCCATGCCCTGCAACACACAGTGAAAACCACGTCATCTTGGATGTAAAATACGCAGAATACAAACAACTAACACTTTCAACTTCAACAACGCAGAAACAAAAACACAGAGGACACAATAATTCATCCAACTAATGATATAATGACTCAGCATGTATGTGTTGCCTTACAGAGCATCATCTGCACTGTCTGCACACAGGCTGATGACCCGTCCATCTCTGCACACTATCTGGAGCAGGGCGTCACGCGTCTTCCCTTCCGGTGGGTTCAGCTCTGAGCAGCAATACAACAGGACAAATATAGAGGTGACACATTTAAAAAAAACAAAAAAAACCCAACATCAAACAACAGTTGGTCAGTACTGTTAGAAAGACATCCTCGCGCAGCCGATGTCAAATACCTTGACATGCAGCAGAGTTGCGGATGTTAATGCAGTCGACCTTCAGGTGGATGTCATCCTCCATGTCACGCCGTTGTTGGTTATAATAGAAGACAAGTCGTCCATCAGCCCACAGGTCAAACCAATTCTTCTTCCACCGACGCAGAATGGTACCTTTAATGAAAATATATTACAGTTAAGTTCAATCCAACCTGAATAAAAATACAAAAGGAATTCACACCAAAAGTAACAGCAGCTTTACCATCTGGATAAAATGCTGTTAAAGCTGTGGATATGTCTGGGTACTCACTTTGTCGATGGAGCCAACCACTCTTTACCATAGCCATCTTAGAGGCAACACCTAAAACAATACAACACATACATTAGACAGTGGTAAGGAAACTAACTGCTGACGGCTGGGCGGGGCGTAGCCAAACGAACCTCGTGACTATGAGTACTATTAGCTTTAGTCCAGAGTGTTTCCAGAATAAAATAGAAAAGATATACACAAGGTAGCACATGATCTTTTTTTTGCGGATAGCTGACGTTATTGATTTAACCAGGTTAAGATAAATAAAAAAGACACCACAGCAGTTTATCATGAGATTAGACTTAATATGAGCTCATGAAACCATATAGTTATTATTTACAACATTAGTAGAAGCTAGAGTAAGATAGTAGTTCATTTACAGTGCCAGGACTTTCACTTTCTGTATTAATCGGACACTTATTTTGGGTTTCACTGGTTGTCAGTTAGCTAACATAACGGTAACAAATAATGGCTTCATGTGACAACAGGCCAGTGGTGAATATGTCATCCTCATTTCTCATTAATACAAGTTGAAATGGAGAAAGTCCTGAATATTGATAATGTAACACCAACCACAATAACTCCATCACCACTTGAAGCCGTTCACATGTTTACCCGACGTCACTGTGTACATTCCTCTGTAGACCAAACACAGCCGAAGTTAGCTAATGTTAATGTTAGCGATAACTAACGTTGTTTATATAACAGTAAACCTGTGAGTATCGAGCCCACCTAGCGTTACTGCTTCAGTGTTAGTATAGTTATCTAAAACACTAACACGGTAAACACAACGTCCAACAGTAACCGCGCTGTGTTATTGGAGTACTTACTTGAATATTTGAAACGCTATGTTTCAGGAAAACTATTTCGTGAGGACACAGCAAACACGGAAGTGAGATGTACGAAAAAGACGATGCCCTCCTCGGAGTCAAAAAGCCTGATCCATAAACGAGCGCACACTGTGTGGAGACTGTGCGGAGACCAGCTGCTGTTGTCTGGTCGCCGGTTGTCACTAAGCCCCGCCCACGGAGCATCTTCACTAACGTTCACGCTCTTTGTGCTACTCCTTCTTCTTCGTTGGATTTAATGGCGGACTGCAATCCCAACTTTTAAGGTGCATACCGCCACCTGTCGTTCGTACAACAGACTGTAGGTGAGTTTATTTTGGACTGTTTTCTATACTCTTTTCGCTGGTCAGATGTTAGTTGTTGATGTACACTTGCAATAAAATAAAAAGTTGGTCACATAAAAACCCCAACAACTATATTCTGTGTTTACTAAGACATCTCCCCACACCATATCTCCATTTGTTCCTGACATCCCTTCCTAATCCCATCCTCGTTCGGCCTCTCTCACACTTTGTTGCAAGCTTACACTTTCTTCATCACATTTGGAACATGTTGAACATTTTAAGTTGCATTACAACGCACACATATTTGTTAATTTACTTCTCCCAATAGAAGTAGAGTCTTATTCAAACCAGGGTGATCAAATCTTAACCTGAATAGAACTACGTCCTGTCTTCTACACCTCCCTTTATCACTGTGCTCTCTCTTTGTACTCGATAGTATGTTCTGCCCTTACTGTACTCATCCCACATTTTCTGTCAAAGTCCAAATGTTTTCTTTTTGATTAGTGTACCTTCCCCTTTTTTTAAATGGTATGTCCATTATATGCCCCATAGTTAGTGCTCCTTTAGCCACCCTGTCTGTGCATTCATTACCCTTTAATCACACATGTGCAGGTACCCAACAAAATTCTACTATCTACTAATACCCAATCTCTGAATTTTAAATAAACCTTAAAGCGTTTCAAACATTTGATGTTCCCTACTTGACTCCATAGACTGTAAACTTAAAAGAACTGCTGCAGAGCCAATACTTTTCTGGTCTCACTTCTTCCACCCACTGAAGAACAACAACTGCAGCCATCATCTCAGCTGTATAGACCGATCACTCATCTGTAATTCTGTGACTTAAATGGAATTGAAATTGTGGGATGTAGACTCCTGTTATTATACAATCCTTTTGATATGCTGAGTCATCAGTGAGAACATGTAGGTCACTGGTTCCTTTATACTGGTTTACAGTGTCCATTTTGCTTTCCACCCAGTATTTGATGCTATAACCATAACCATTAACCCTATCCCTTAGATCTGTCATACTCCCAGCATCCATACGGTCCTCTCTCTGTGAGGGAGGCGTTTGTTTTGCATGACGTAACCTATCAGCTGACAGCTTTGGAAAGTGCTGGCACACTCAGCAGGGGCGCGCTCGCTCCTGTCTTCCCTCACAGGGTGGATGTGTTCAACATGGTTTATACCGAAAGAGGATCGACCTAATGCAATTCCTCACCCATCAAATGGTTATCACACAGGGAATGGGGATGCAGCTGATCATTTCCTGGGTGAAATAGGTTTTATTAGCACAGTCAGGTACACACTGAGACAGGGTAGACGTGTTGCTTTTAATTAAGCGAATATGGTGTAAAAGCAAAGAAGCAGAAGATCGGGAGTGAACATTATGTATTGCTATTGATACAAACATAAAGCGGAGTTTTATTTGATCTATTCCGTCTGAGACAACAGCCGCTGTCTGCTGCGCATGCGAGTCACAAGCTCACACAAGCAGAAAAGTTGTATCCTGTGTGGAGGGAAACTAACACTGCACTGTGCACACTGCTGCAGCGAGCCTCGTTTCATTGCCGCCCAAATAAGAAGACAGCGACTACAAACAGAAAATAACAAGCTCCAGACCACTGACCGACGGGCAGCCCAGGATTGTAAAACAAGCCCTCCGACCAACAGTTAAGGAGCTAACGAAAATATCGCAGAAGCTAAAGAGCTAAAGTGAAATGGCGACGGCAATATACTTGGAACATTACCTTGACAGTAAGTCACCGAGGATACGCTCAGTTATCACTTACAGTGTGAACATCTTCCGTCTTTTTGGGGTTTAGTTTAATTGTCTCCAAGACTTTTTTTTGCTAGGCGGGAGGCTGGCCGAGAGCATTACAGTGCGTTAGCCACCAGGTTAGCCGTTAGGTCACTAGCTCGCTAGCTAACTGATTAGCATTAAGATAAAGCCTCCACTGGTTCAAAGTTAGATAAACTCTCCATGTGTGGAGTTCTAGTCCCACAGAGCCTAATGGAAACATGGACATATGTTACATGTGTCAACAGCTTTAGTGAGCTAGTGTTTGGTTGTCTGTGTCCTGTTCAATCACACATAATTAACTGTTAGCAGCTAGGTGACTAGCAACTAGCAGTGGTTTTATAAGGTTGTTTAAAATGTTGTTGTCATACTCAGCATTATAAAACATATAAATCAGTTTTCCGTGAATTTGGTCAACGTCCGTGTGTGCTTTAGGATAGCACCGTGCATTTGCAACCTGTTGGTAACCGCGTTTCCCCTAACCACGCTCCGGGGCGGGGTGTTTGAAGTGCGTCACACAATGTAACGACAAGCTCTGACACTCGAGGAGCGTCTTCTTGTGTTTAATATCACACTTCACACTTCACATGGCATATTTAACCACCTAACGGAATATTTAACCTTACGTTGTACAGACGTATCAAAGCAGTCAATAAATCTGAGCTGTTTTGTTAAATGGTGAATGCTTTGCAAGAAATTCTTGACTTTTTAAAAAGCAAAAATACTTGGTATTTTTGGTATAGAAAATGTTATTGGCAGGTGGCAGTTTTAATGTATTTAAATTCTGAACAATAATTCGTTTATACTTTTATATATATATATATATATATATATATATATATATATATATATATATATAGTTTGCAATTAATATAATAATATTGCCTGTGTTGCCAGTTGTTACATTGGGTGATTTTGGCACTATGAGTTAGGGCTGCACCAAGCTGCACTTTTTGATAAAGATAAAATGTGTGTGAAAAAGCATTAGCATTAAGTACTGTAGTGCTGCAGAGATACCCTGGCCCACAGATCTTGTTTTCCTGATGTAGTTTGTTTTGTACGGACCCCAACAAACAAAACATATCATCACAGCTTTAATAGGTGCTTTTCTTTTCCATATCGTGCAGCCCTACTATGAGTGACCCTTTTGTATTGTGCCGTCATTTTATTTAATGTTACTATCAAACGAATGATTATTGTAGGTTTGTAATCCAGTATAGGACAGTCTGTAGTTACAACACCCATGACATTTAGTTAAATTTTACCTGGAGTGACACTACATTGATTGAACATATAAATAAGTAAAGTGTTAGAGATGGATTATCTCCCTGATTGTCTCTCTCATCCTTATGTCATTCTTTCCTCTAGGTATTGAAAACCTACCATGTGAGCTTCAGAGAAACTTTACTCTGATGCGGGACCTGGACAATAGGACTGAAGGTGATAAGTTAATCTCATTAAGTTATTGTCTGAATTATTCCTAATTAATTTAGCTTTGACATGTCAAAATGTCTGCTGTGGAAGAATATTTATTAGCTACAATAACTGTAAACATCTGAGAAGGTGCGCAGGCAGCTCTAAGCATTGCATTCTTGTGTTCTACCATTTAACACCAGTAGTAAAAGTACAAATATTGTGCAGTCAATAACACTGGTTTTCCAGCACTGTAATAATCATGTTGTTGTGCAGAAAAGAAAGGAGAGATTGACAAACTGGCTGAAGAGTACATTGCCACTGTGAAGAACCTGGCCTCAGAACAGAGAGTGGAACACCTGCAGAAGATCCAAAATGCCTACAGCAAGTGCAAAGAGTTCAGTGACGACAAAGTCCAGCTCGCAATGCAGACATATGAGATGGTCAGTCCAACACAGTCAGTTCTATGTGTTTCCTGTCACTGTTTTATGTAGTCAACATGTTGCAAATAGGTATTTTAAATCACATATTCTTGTACTAAAGAGTATTATAAAATGTATTTCTTATTTGCAAATGAAACAATGCATATGGCCAGTTTCTAATCTACATGATATTTCTTTTACTGCAGGTGGACAAACATATCCGCAGACTGGACGCAGATCTGGCGCGATTTGAGAATGAGCTAAAGGAGAAACTGGAAGCGAGCGGCTACGAAAGTACAGAGGGAAGAGGAGTGAAAAGTAAGTTGTGCAGCTGAAGGACTTTCATTGTAGAACATTGCAAAACCGATTGATGCACATCTTTAAATGTCCATATTTTGTTCAGAGGGTGAGTCCAAGGGGTTGAGAGAGAAGCGTGGATCCAGGGGAAGAGGACGGAAAGGTTCTGATGAAGATTCTCCCCGAAAGAAAAAGATCAAAAACAGGTACATTTGGGCTGCTGGCTCAGCCAGGACAAGGGTTTACTAGATGGCCGTGTCCAGAATTTGAATTACACATTTCTATCAGTCCTGAAAATCCTGTATTATTCATGGGTTATTAATTCAGATTAGCCTTACTAATTCAATGACTCACCAATTTGCTCCCCATTTAATCATGTTCACTTCTAATTCTAATGTATTACGTTGGACTTCCAGCCCAGACTTGAGTGACGCTCTGCTGCCTATGCAACCATCAGATGTTTTGGACATGCCAGTCGATCCCAATGAGCCTACATACTGCCTGTGCCATCAGGTGTCATATGGAGAGATGATTGGATGCGATAACCCAGACGTAGGTTTCCACTGGTTCTATAAATTTAAACTGAACAAGTTTCTGTGTGTCTCAGCTAGAGAGTTTAATACTGAACCTGTTTGTCTTCCTTAAGTGTCCGATTGAGTGGTTCCACTTTGCTTGTGTTGATCTCACCACAAAACCCAAAGGAAAATGGTAAGAGCTTTGAATTAGTTCAAAGGCTGGTAATTGTTTATAAAAAGATGACAGCTATTAAGGCAGACAGCTCATGATTGTCCTCTCCTCCGAGTCATCTTTTCTCCCTTTCTCCCCTTCAAATCTCTCAGGTTTTGTCCGAGGTGCACCCAAGACAAGAAGAAGAAATGAGATTTCTTACCTTCAGAAGTACCTAACTAATATATGTATTTTTGGTGTAGTTTAATAATGTAATATACTGTGTATACATGTATATATATTTCAGTTCCTATAACTCTCCATAGAAATGGTGGGCTATTTTAAAGGCCTACACCGGATTCAGAGTATAGCTACACGTGTGGCACCATTAGAGCCCTCTTTATAGATGTTATTCTGCCTGTGTCACTGGACAGCTCTCTTTGTCCAAAAGCTCTAAAATAATTGATTCATCTGTATATTATTTGTGTACTCTGGGTAAATTAGTCCCGGCAGTGGAGAAAAGTTGCACAAATTATTACCAATCAGAAAGTCCTTCCTCTCAAGTCATATAGTGTATATATTGTTAGTACTAACATAAATCCTGGACTGTGGCTTTAGCATACTTGAAATATCAATTTTATAAAGATCTATTTTTTAAACAAATTAACAGCCTGCTGAGAATTTACAAATTGAAACACCTAAATCCTTACCAATTGTTGGTGGTAAAAGGAATTATGTGTCAGATTTTCAGTTACCTACCTCCTTAGGGAATACATCAGCACTGCATAAATGACTGCAATTGATACCAGTGTAAAAAATGCGTTTTGATTAGCTTAAACCAAACAAGCAAAGCAATGTAAATTCATTCGTTATTGAGTTTTAAAAAACAAAAACCTGCGACATTTTTGAATGTATTGTGGTACTAATGGTCAGTCAGTCAGTGTCTCTGAATGAGGTATTTAAGCACTTTGAATGAAATTTCCCCTGAAGAGGTTTGATACTGCAGGCTTGGTTTTATGATATAGTTTCTCATTTAAAACTCTGCCATAGTGAATCATTTCAAACCATATGGAAATATATATACATACGGTATATGTTTTGTATGATATTATGAAACAATATTTTGTGGACACGTCATTTTCCAAAGATATATTTGTTGTATTGCTTACTTACTGGTGTACACTCAAATTTTATTTAATAGGATTTTAGCCTCCTTTCATATTCAACTGTGAATATCACTCGTTTAGGTGTAAGCCACAAATAATAAAAGAGCCAAAGTCTTTGTATTTTGTATATTTCAGTATTTTATAACAAATAAATATTCACTATTATTCCTGCATTATTTCATTCACTGCTGTTTGAAGCTTGTGATGTGCTTTTAAAATGGTATGTGGCACTTTTTGCGTACCATTTTAAACTAACTTTTTCTGAGACAATGGTCCAGTTACTTTAAATGAATGAATGAATTTTCAAAATTGTAATTTTTCACAGAGTTGTTATTGTGTACTAAAACTGTCTAAACTACTCAATGAAAACTACTGACAGTGAGGTCTGTAGATAATTCATGGACTCTGGAGAGGTTGTCTGTCTGTTTTCAGTGCCACAGATGTTCAGCTCTTTCTGCTGGCAACTGTAATTTCAAGTACAGAGATTTCAAGACTAGCTAGATGACGACGGGCTAACTGAGGAAATACTGTGTGTGTTTCTGGTGCTCCCAGTTAAAAAACAGTGAATGTAGGTACCTGCTGTATTTGTTGTCTGGGAATTCTGTCTGATGTCTTTCTGTAGTTGCCACTGAACAACAGTTCTGAATTCTTGTGAAGGTAATGATGTTCACTGTCGAAACTGTTTTAGAGATGTGTTGATTCAACTTTATGGAGGCTTGAGTTTGTAGTGCTGTGGATTTGTGTTGTGTTATATTGAGTGATATTTAGTCTACTGTTATTGATAGAAATGGGGTGGGCAAAATAATAAAAACACTTCTCAGTGTAATGTGGTATAATTCAACAGTGCTATAACTGACTGTAAAATTGAATCAACACCTAATAAAACAGCAAAAACTGAACATTATCTGATTCCTGAAGGTAGAACATATTGCAGTACTGTTGCATTAGTTGTAGGTATGTGTACCTAATAAACTAGAGTGGACATACTTCACTGCATGCAGGAAGATATTTCCTAAAGAGTTATTCAACATCTGTGTATGACTTCAGATCAAGCACTGTAGTCAGCATTGCTGTGTCAGATTATCCTGTCATCTCAGTACATCAGGTGATCTGCAGTCTACGCTCTGAAAGGATAGAGAGAGGATTGGAGTTTCAAAATCCATCATCAGATTCTTCATCCCAGCTGCACTTTTCTTGTGTGGTCTTGCTGAAATCCATTTCCAGGTCGTACACAAAGTCAGGATCATCTTTGTGCCTTCGGTTCTTCTCAAACAATTCGTCCATTTGGCCCTTCTTGCGAGCCAGCTCCTCATCGTCCAGTTTGTTCAGGTCTTCGTCGGGGTCCAGGTTGAATGATGCCAGGCTGCGCTCCAAGCTGAAGCCCTGCATGTGATCTCTCAGGATGATGTGAAGCTTCTCCAGCTGGCTCTGGGACACACCCTCCAGGTAGTCCCTGTGCCTGGGGTGGTTCTTCAGCCTTTCAGCAGCCATGCTGTAGTCTGATGGTTAAAGGAGAAGAGGGCATTAAGGATTCAAACTGACCAAACCTCATCTGCCTATTATGTTTCCTTTAATTATGCATCAGGTACAGTTCACACAGCTGAGTACAGGGGCAAAGCAGTATTTTACCCAAGACCCCAGAAAAGTTATTTTGTGGTAATTTGATCAAGCACAATATATATAGAAATGTATTTTAGGTTTTGATACAGGGCCTCAGGATCAGATACAAAGGAAGGAGACCCCGTAAGGCCATTATCCTTGCATAGTCTTTTAATGGTGCGTAAATCCTATTAGAAGCAAAGTACTGAGTAACTACTACACCAAGTAAAACTGTGTGCGTGTATGAGCCAAATAATATCTGTCTCGTCTTACCAGAGTATTTTGAGAAGTTTCGCACAGGTATTATTCTTTTTCGTATTGTTTTGGTTTCCTTGTGTTCATAAATTAAAACTATAGAGGGAGGGCTGAACTGCACGCCGCATCGCTTTGCCTCGAAACTCATGTTTTAATGTCAGCAGCGACCCTGCTTCAACCCGGCCTCCACCTGGAGCTCAGCGACACAATACTAAAACATTTTAACCCTCATTATTAAAATAACGTTATTTAAAAAGGGAATTAGGCAACCGAGCTTCAGAAGTGATTAGCTTTAAACGTTGCCTGGGAGCCTGGCGTTAGTCGGTGTCGGCACTTGCTGTCTTCGCCGAAGCCTGCCTATATTTACAGTAAATATTTTAAAGTCCTATTGTTTCATCCACAGTGGAGGTGAAGATTGATAGTTGATTTTCTGAGCATCCTTTTTTTTCTTTTTAAATATATTGATTACCTCAGAGCTTTCCCACAATGCCCGTAGATTGTTATTTACAGTTAGGCAGCGTCACAGCTCCCCTAGAACTACAAAGGGGTCCTTCAAGATCCTTTTCCGTAAACAATTTAAAACAGCCCCCAGTGTTACAGTTGTAGTTAGATAAATACACTGGCTGTTAAAAGCTCGTTGTAGCTCACCTTTACTATTTGAATGTATTTTGTACTGCTTTCTGTGTTGGCTTGTTTATCCGCATGTCGTTGTCTGGTCGAGCAGGGTAAGGTATACTGTTATTGTTATTGTTATTGTTGTTATTGTTATTGTTATTAGACCTCCGAGCGACATCGGATCAGTTTTGTGTCACCAAACGTTGAACTTAATTTAGTTTTCTGGCAGTATAATGTTAATGAGACGGACCTGAGGACTTCTCTTTTCTACTGTGTCTTCTTTTACTATGAATAAACAAACAAGTACAAAGAGACATAAAGGATTGAGTTTGGAATTAGGAGTGTCAACACACTATAGGGAGCAAATATATATAGCTACACAGTTTAAATGTAGTATTCATTTCCGTGTCCGAACATCTCATTATTATATTATTAATTTTACCTTTATATTCTGGCACTTTTCTCCTGCTTCATAATAAGGATAAAACAAATCAACCATACATGTATTATTACAGTTATAATGAAAAGGTCTGCTCTGTCTAGTCTTATGGTCTTGACCAATACCATTTCCATATTTTTGTAGATGAGAACAATGAGGACCACTGTGGTCTGCTGAAGCAGCTGCTTGAATCCTCACCGGTTTCAGTGGAGATCAACAAGAAGGGTTTTCACAGGTATTGACAGTGCGTTTCCAAACATGGAACAATAACCGACTTCAAGGCTCAACAAGTGATTTCTGATTTGTTTTAGGGAGCTGGTAACCACTGTTGAGCTCATCCCAGATGTGCCCAGTGGGGTCAGAGTTTTGCTGGTTCAGAGATGGCCCAGAGGTGTCTATCTTGATCCATACCAACTTGCATCTCTGAGTGATCAACGTGATTGGCAGGTAAGACTGACACTGCCAAAACATAGCATATTTGTGGAAAAACCAATTACAAACCACATTCATCCACACAATGTATGAATCTATTGTTTTAACTATTTCATCTCTGTAAGATATTACTGGATTCAGGCATAGACCTTGAGGTGCCTGCTCACAAGACTTCAGGATTTGTCACCTATGTTTATCCCACCCCTGATGGACCAACTCCCAGCCTGGTAAAAGTAACAATTCCCGTACATGGTCGCTACCACGAGCCTTCTTTTGACGGGAAAACATTCACATCAGTCGACATAGAACCTCCAGAGCTGCTGCTGCGGACTGAAAAATGTAATCATCTTTATTCTGGTCTCTTCTTAGAAACAAGTAATCATGTATGTTTATTATATACCTTCCTGCAAGGAAACCAACATTTCAGCTCCTTCAAAATGTGCTTTGATATTTTTGGCAGCCTTCAGGACTGCAGGGTCCAATTCTGATAACAGCCAAGGGAAGTTAAAATACGTGATGATCCTTCAGAACAAGATTTAAGAGATAAACTGCCTTTTAAAATTAATATTGTTTTATTATGTAATTTATTTTTAGTAGAGGTAATATTTGAATGTACCAATAACTTAAATGGTTAAAACAATAACTTCATATTTATTGTCAGAAACACTGGATTGAAAATGTAGCTGATGGAGAAAGAAAGTGAAGTGAGTGTTTGTCTTAATCCAAACCTCTTTCTTTCTTCTAGGTGCGCAGCTCAACAACTTAGAGCCTCATATTGTCGTGGACGCCCCCTGTACTCCTGACAATTCAAGCACATGTCCATGGGTTAAACTCCTGCATCAGCAGGTGGTTCTCTTTATACATCTTTTTATGATACTTACTGTTTATGTTTTACTTTTCTTATCACTCAAAACATATATTTTATCCTGTAGGAGCAAGGCTCCGGGGGTTTCCAGTTTCCGGTTGGTGACGGGTCTTTGGTGACGCCTGTATGCGGTGGAACTCTTCTAGTCACAATGATCTGCTGTGTGGCACTGTCTAAATACATGTGGGAACATCGAATCATTTAGACAGGGATGGTCTACATATCTTGTGTTAAACAGCTCAAGCTTATAGTTCTGTCTGATACCAGGATCCTTCTGACATCACTAGGATCAAAGTCTTAAATCAGTCCAGGTTCCTGTGTGTGTCTTTTATATATTTTAATAAATAAAAATAATAATATGCAAAGATCTGTGTTGACAATGAGGTTTTGCTTTGCTACTGTTTTGTAACTCTGGTTTGTCAAAATGTCAGACTGAAAAGTGTAATTGCAGGGTCATAAAGCTACAGTGCATATGAACACAGCACCAGACAGGGCTGGTGGAAAAACATTAGTCTGAAATCAAGTTCTACACTGCTTCCTTTGTCAAATCTTTTATTCTGACAACCTGCTTAATATAGCTGAACATTGCAGAGCATAATATATACAAGGATTTTATAATTGTTGTATGGGTCCAAACTGAAGTTTGTGGATGTTTTTTTTTTTTTTTTTTCAATTTTGCTCAAATCCAGAAGAAGGTCAGAGGTCATGGTCAGCCACAGAGCAGCAAAGCTGATATGAAAAAGACCATAACAATACTCTTCAGTCAGGAAAAACGTATGTTGTGAAGCCGTCAGTTCTGAAATGTAACTATTGATTCAAGTACAGCACTCCAGTAGTTTTGAGGTACATGTAGTGGACTTTAGTATTCCTATTTTGTTCTGCTTTATTGTAATACTACTACTACACTACATTTTGAAGACAAATTTATACTTTTTTACATTAGTAAAAAAAAAAACAGAGTTAGTAGTTACTTTGCTGATTCAGATTATTAATACAAAATATAAATCAACTAACACATTTTGATGTGTGCATTAAGCTACTCAACAATATATAAGGTTGCTGAAATTAGCCTCACATTTATAAATTGTAACATTAGTGATCAATAATTATAATCCAGTATAATGTATTATTCTGAAAGAGGGTTAGAGTACTCTTAGTTTTGGTACTTAAAGTATATTAAAATGCTAATACTTACTAAGGTAAGTTATTTCTATTTGATGGAAATGTGCAGCCATAAAAACACAGGGTGAATACTTATATTTCACTCAGTAACATAATTTGTTGAATGCTATGAAGCTAATGAAGCATAGCTGGAACTATATATATATAAAATGCATTTATATATTGTTTTATTTCATTTTATAATTTGGTATTCTATAAATTGTTTAATCTTACTCTATGTGTGTACCATGAAGGACCTGCAAACATTCATTTAGTTATAAAACTTTGTGTTATATGATGATAATAAATTCTTATTATTAAAAGCTATCCAAAGGGAACATTTAAGGAAATAGGATGTTATGGTGTTTAAATATACCATATATTTGGTGGTGACATACTGTGAGAAGTTTGACACAGTGTGGTTATGATTTAGAAAATAAAAGTGTTGGTGTTAATTCATTATAATGGAGTATTGTTGTATTCAGGTACATCCCAGTCCTGCTAGCAGGGATTGCTCAGAGGTACTTCAGTAGGCCCTGGATTGTATATGTATGTGTGTATCAATCAGCCTTCACTTCACATATTATAGATGTTGAACTACATCACCTAAAGTGCTTTTGGGCCTAATTCAACTTTTAACTTACAGTTTCTGAAGACATGTTAAGTGCTCCCAATGGTCTAAAACTATTATGTCTAGTATGAGCAGGGCAGTTTTCTTATCTTCAGATACAGATAGCAGACAAACTTCACACACCATTCATCTGAAGCATTATTGAGTAGGCTGGGGCTGGGTCGGTAGTTCCGCTTCCCCTTCGCCATAGCGGAATTATCCAAGGGCCGAAAAGATAGAAGAAAAGTTGCATTGTAAATAGTTGCAGTCACGTTTTTCCTAAGTTATTTGTACGCGTTGTGTACCATCAAGGCCCCTTGTGTCAGAGGACTTACTTTTAACGGATTTACAAACGTTTTCCAGACCGTCGAGGATCGTCCAGGAGTCAAGTTGTATTCAAGTTTAAGTGTCGAGGAACCTCCGGTGAGCTCTGCTGCTCCTGCGTCGTCTTCGTTAGCCTGCACAGAAAGCGGATTGGTACTGGCTAGTTTTGATACTTTTCAGCCTCTGTAGTGTCATTTAAACCTCCTCTTGGTAATGTTGAGCTCCCGGGGGAAACCCATAGGTTTGGTCGGCATGCTAGGTACCGTTAGTTAGTTGAACGCTTAACACTGACTTCATAGTTAGTGTAGCTTGTCATGCTAACGTTAGCTTATCGCTAGCACACTTGTTGGCCAAGTAGTTAATGCTAACGTTAGCTTGCTAGCCGCCCCTGTTGTTACTCATTTGAAGGGCATTTTTGGACAGACAGAAACCCCGTTATATGGGGAAACGATGGGCTGAATGTCGATGTGTTGACATTCTTTACCTTAGCAAGAAGTAATGAAGTGTCTGCATTTTATTTACGTATCAAGTGCACTGAGGGAATAGCAACTTGCATTATTCTTTATCTTCATCTGGGCTCCTTTTACACGCACTTTCAGATACGACGTAGGACACAAAGAAGAAACTAACGTTACTTGGCTAAAAATGCTCTCAACAATTCTCAGGATAATACTGAGCCCAAATAAGCTGTGCTCACTGTTTTTATTCCGCTAACACAGTCCCCATTAAGTTATCTTTAAATATTAGCCTCTGCTCTCATTATTAGTGAGACATTGCTGCATTGTAATTGTTCATACAGTCCGTGAAGTCACCCTCTCAGCCACGTTATGGGCTGTTTATTTGTACTTCACATAGTGGTAATTCTTCCAAGTTTTACTGATATAATGAAATGATATTGAGAACATATCACTCTGTGTTTTGGGTTTCTCTCTGTTCAGTGTCCCACAGTATTGTGGCCCATCATGATGGTTGTTTTCCCAATCACCTCTTAATACTCCTACACACAGCTTCAAAAGCTATGGCACTTCATTGTTTCATAGTAGAAAGTAGTTTTCTGATTATTAGTCACTACATCCTGCTGTATTTGTAACATTATTGCTGTGGGTTTATGGTCTTATGAATGTCTGATTTTCTTCCAGGTACTTTTTGGTGCTTCCTTTTCTCTTCTGCTGTCATTTCTGGCACAACCTCCTGTAGCGCATGAGCACACCCGTGCCTCATGTTGATGTGAGCGCTGCCTCGCTCCCTATCTGTCTGTGCTACCCTGTCCATCCTTGTCCGCTGTGTCCCCCCCCCCACCCCAAGCCCTCTTAGCCCTGTGAGGCTACCAACAACCTATAGCGATGTGTGATAACGGAGACCCTGAGGATAAACCCCCTGCCCCTCCGGTCAGGATGAGCAGTACCATCTTCAGCACCGGCTCTGGCAAAGACTCACTCTCAGCCAACCACAGCTCTAAACCCCTGCCTTCTGTGCCTGAGGAGAGAAAACCTCGCAACAAGATCATCTCAATCTTCTCTGGGGCTGAAAAAGGTGAGACGAAGACTTTGGAAGAGAAAGATTTAACTTTAAAGTCAGTTGGGGGTTTGTGAACACTTGTGAAATGTGATTTTAATAAGGTTTGGTTTCTTTCAGGTGGTAGAAAGAAAGATCGAGACAAAGAACGACCAGAGATCTCTCCACCCTCAGATTTTGAACACACCATACATGTGGGGTTTGATGCTGTCACAGGGGAGTTCACTGTGAGTTTTCACTGTTCATTCTCACACGTTTACACCACTAACACCTGCTTCATGTTACATGTTTACTTCACAGCTTACTCTGCACCAGTTTGACACCATGTCATCTTTGTCATACACAGGGTATGCCAGAACAATGGGCTCGACTACTCCAGACCTCAAACATCACCAAGTCAGAGCAGAAGAAAAACCCACAGGCTGTGCTCGACGTTCTTAAGTTCTACGACTCTACAGGCAACGGCCGTCAGAAGTACCTCAGCTTCTCATCTTCTGGTGAGGGTCCACGTTACATAATTGTGACATTATGTTTAATTACCTGTAGGGCATTATGAGTACATCAAGTTTACCTCCATGTTTGTAGGTGCAAGTTAATTATTGCCTTTTCATAAAGAGGAATTGAATCAATATATTATCTCATGTGACAGCTTTGAACCCTTTGGGAACATCTTGTTCAGTCTGTGATTACAAGTACTCAATAAAACATATTTTCTGTCTAACTTTGCCTGTGTATTGTTTTGTCTTTCATTCACAGAAAAAGACGCTTTCACCCCGGGGCCTCAGTCTGTAAGTATTTCAAAAACACATGCCGCTTTATTTGTACTATGTTTGGTCTTTTAAAGGTTTTAAAGGTTTAAACTGTTTCTCTTCTAAATCAGCCTGTGAAAAAAGGCACTGAACCTTCTTCACCGAATATCAAAGACATTGATGATGACGACGACGATGAAGCCCCTCCTCCTGTTGTGGCACCAAGACCAGAACACACAAAGAGTGTAAGTCAACTGCTTTAAGCAGGCATGACAACAAAATCATTTACGCATTTGTTTGTTTTACCCTATTGTTTTGTTGTGTTGTGCAGGTGTATACTCGCTCTGTTATTGACCCCATCCCTGCTCCAAGCCACTGTGTAGACGGAGATGTTGCCTCTAAGGCTGCAGACCGACAGAAAAAGAAGGGCAAGATGTCAGATGAGGAGATCATGGACAAACTGAGTAAATTATTAATAAATCAGCAATCTCACAAATCTATTACAACAGTACAGCAGTTCAAATCCCACCTGTTTTCTTTATACATGTGGTTGTTATCTGGCTTACAGGAACCATAGTCAGCATTGGAGATCCCAAGAAGAAGTACACCAGATATGAAAAAATTGGTCAGGGGTGAGTGCAGATCCACCAGTTGTATTTAGAATATGTGATAGGATTTAAGATTTAAGGTGTACTGTGTAATATTGCTTTTATAATAATAATAATAATAGGCCCTTCATTTTCTCCACTTCTTCAACAAAATCTCATTTTTCTGTATCAACATTGAATGTTTTAAACTTCACACTTTGACAATATCAGCCTTGGCTGTTGTTAAGCTGCATGTCACAACTCTGTGTATAAATGGTTTGCAGACAGATTTGAGTGGACTGATTGTTAATATGTGCATTAAAGTTAATAGCTCATCTCCTTCTACCAGGGCATCAGGAACAGTATTCACAGCCATCGATGTTGCCACAGGACAGGAGGTAAAGAGTTACTGAGTAATGGACGAGCAGATGTGGAGACTATAAAAATACCAACCAGTGACACAGCAGAAAAAGTAGTGGAGCTCATTACATATAAATTGACACATGAAAGTTTTTAAAAAGAAATGAAGTGAAGTGACAAATTTGAGATAATGTTAAAGACTAACACATACTGTAACAGTAGCTGTAAAGGAGAATAATCTATTTAAAGTTGGCTTACATTAGCTAAAAATAGCATCATAAGTCATACCTGACCATGTAAGGGTGTGTTTTATTGGATATTAATTCAACTTTTCATTTGTAAGAGGACAAATGTTTTATTTATTTAAAAGTTACATTTTTAAATGATTTACATTCAGAGGGAGAAGTTAATTAGAGAAAGCAATTAAAATGTATAATACATACACTTATACCATCATAATAAAGACTTTAGTGTAATTTGTCAAATTTGGGTAATTCTGAATTGTCTTTTTTTTTTAGGTCGCCATTAAACAGATCAACCTACAAAAGCAGCCGAAGAAGGAGCTGATCATCAATGAGATTCTAGTGATGAAGGAGTTGAAGAACCCCAACATTGTCAACTTTTTAGACAGGTGAGACTGAGAGTAAACCTGCAGCCTTAACATTTATTAATAATTATGGATTGACACCAGTGTGTGACGTTGTGTATTTGTGCATGTTTGTCAGTTTCCTGATGGGGGAGGAGCTGTTTGTGGTGATGGAGTATCTGGCCGGTGGTTCACTGACAGATGTGGTTACAGAGACCTGTATGGATGAGGCCCAGATAGCTGCTGTCTGCCGAGAGGTACACTGCACTCTTTACAACCAGGGCCATATGTGAAAGTTAGAGATAAAACAAAAATGTAACTCCCAATAACCTTTCCCCCCACCTTCTCCTCCCATTTATCTCCATATCTGCAGTGTTTACAAGCATTGGAATTCCTGCACGCGAACCAGGTCATTCACAGAGACATCAAAAGTGATAATGTGTTACTCGGGATGGATGGTTCTGTCAAGCTGAGTAAGTCCTGTACTGATGTTACGGGGAACAGCCTATTTGGCATTGCTACATCCTCTGACTGTAACTGTGTATTTACTCTTCATCTCCTCGACAGCCGATTTTGGCTTCTGTGCCCAGATCACTCCAGAGCAGAGCAAACGCAGCACCATGGTAGGCACGCCTTACTGGATGGCTCCTGAGGTGGTGACCAGAAAGGCTTATGGGCCTAAAGTAGACATTTGGTCACTGGGTATTATGGCCATTGAGATGGTTGAAGGAGAGCCTCCCTACCTGAACGAGAATCCACTACGAGTGAGTGAGAACATTTTAAACCGTCTCGGTTCTTTTGTCCTCTAGGTTATTTTGTTTATTTACATGTTTATTTCCATCTTATGACATGAATCTCTCCTAATTGACTCATCTGTACAGTGGGCAAATTAGTTCAACAAATTCAGGTTCACTTACAAAACAAAAGTCAAAGGCACAGCTTTCTGCTCTTAATAAACAATTTTAGATCAAAATGCTAAAATGATTCGTTTGTCAGACTTTGGCATAGTTGCTGAACAACTGCAGTCCTTAAATCGTCATGAGTCAACACAAAAGCAGGAAGAAATGCTCATAAGTCTCAGGAGAGTTTGTCCTGCTCTCCATATGCAACAACATTCAAGGAACAATCCAGGCACTGACATGACCTGTTGTTCGCTGAAGTTGTCAAGCTATGTCTGCTGCTACTGTTGCTTTTTTTTTTTGTTTTATAGTTGTGTGCAAACACTGTTGAATCAGCTTTACTGGCCAGAGATTTGACTAATATACAGTGTTGATATCCAGTTCACACTTGTTGTAACTGTGTAAGAATTATGTACAGTCTATGCAGCCTGCTTAGTTTTATATTTGACACTGATGGATGATGTAAATTAGTAATCGCACTTCATTTCACACTGAACACGCTGCTCTTTATGTGTGCACATTGCATGTTACAAACCTCATCTCTTCTATGATGACACTTCTGGATTAGAAAATCCTGGGTCACGATCATCAGCTTTTATGGACCAGTTATCTGGTATCACCTACAGTTTGTTGTATGGTTTTGTAAAGTCAGTTTACTCTGCTGTCATTAAGCGAAAGGGAAAGGACTAGTGGTCGCTGTGTGAATGCTGGGTTAGAAAATAGTGTGTAACACTTTCATAGCAATTAAAAACTGATCAGACTTTAATTGCAATGCCTCACTTCAACGGTTTGACTTGGTTTGATTCAGTTGCTGTAAGAGTGAGTTATTTCCTGATACTAGGTTTGATGGTTCTTCCTTTTCTCTCCTCTCTTCCTCTTTGGCAGGCATTATACCTGATTGCAACAAACGGCACACCCGAGCTTCAGAACCCTGAGAAGCTGTCTCCGGTCTTCAGAGATTTCCTCAACCGTTGCTTGGAAATGGATGTAGAGAAAAGAGGTGGAGGCAAAGAGCTGCTGCAGGTTAATACCTATTATTAGATTTTTATTTTATTTTATTTTTTCATTTAACTTTTCTTGTGTTCTCATTAAATGTGCACTTGATTCACTGGTCTTCCCCTCTTCTCTTCTCTTTGTCCGGCGTGCAGCATCCGTTCCTGAAGCTGGCGAAGCCCCTCTCCAGTCTCACTCCCCTCATCCTGGCAGCCAAGGAGGCCATGAAGGGCAATCGTTAGCTGATGAAACTAGCTACCCTGCCTTCCCATGCTGTGCACAGATATGTGCCAACCAATTTAGATTTTGTGCCAGACAATAGGCTGAGAGTGACTCGCCACTCTTGAAGCACCAGCCTTATAAGCCCTGACAAACCTCACTGTGAAGAAGACCAAAAATATAGAGCACAACTCCACCGCTGTCCATATGAACTCTATTCTCACTCAGATGTCAGAAGACAAGTCAAACTACAGTCCTTAGTTTCTGAGTCAGGCGTAGTTATTTTGTACAACAAATCTCCTGGTGACAAGTTAGGGCTAGGCTTGTATTTAACTTGGAATGAAGAAGATGCCTAGTTCTATTTAGTTTTTTTAATCAACTGCCTTAAACAAATGCAAAATGTTGCCTAATGTATTGTTGATTGTGTCAATGTTTCTCTTCCCATGATTTTTACTACCTTTGTAATTTACCTTTTCAGCTTGTCAGTGTCTTAGTTATTTTGATACTTGAATTTCATATTTGTCCCCCTTCTTGTTATATAGTTGGTCTTATTCAATGAACACTCTTGCTATTTCCACATTGACTCATGTTTTATGGACATTTTCTCTTACCGGTTTTTATAGGAAACATTTCAGTACATTCGTCATCATGAACATGTGCTGTGATTGTGTCGTTCTTCGATTGCCACACCTGACAGACCTACTGTACCAGTTCTTCCCCTGTATCATTAGTCTCCTGATACCAGAGGTGCACCTTACGGGCAAATTAAAATGTTAGATTGACAGGGTTTATACTTCTTATTGTTGTTATTAAAAATGAGTATTGTATGTCGAACTCTGTCCTTTGTGTTCTTCTGAACTAAACAAATGCGCTTTTTCCATGTGTAGTTTAGTTTTAAAAAAAAGTGGCCATATCATGATGGTTAGCTGAACGACTAACAACCTTGTCTGCGCACTCAAATAAATGCAACTGTTTGTGCTTTTGTGATTTGGGTGTGGAAATGATTGGTGTGCAGTAATATATTTATTTTTTATGAAGCCACACTGGGAAACAAACATGAGGCTACACTAATATAAGTGATGCAATACAGCGTTCATTTCCTTTCTTGTGTAACCAGTGAAGACTTTAATATCAGCTTTAAAGCTGGATATTATACAGGCAGGGCAGTTACACGTTTAGGATGTAGGTGACGGAGCTTGGGGAGCTTTATTTTGAAGAAGTGTGACAGTCGTTTAATTTTTGAGCAAGTTTTAAGTTTTTTTAGCGTCAGATTATCGTGCGCTTTTATTTTGGAGGTTTTGCCCGGAAGTGTAATAGTGTTTTGTACCGGCTCATCTCAGACTGCTGTAGCTTTAAACAGCCAACAGGACGAAACTTCTGCTCTTTTCTGATCTTTGTGTGTAATGGCATCCCAAATGAAAGACAAAGAAGCTTACCAAAGACTGAACTATCTTTACCAGGTAGGAAATAGATGAGTGAAAAGCTAATCGCTGTCCTGATACCGTCGGCAGCAGTCACATGGCTAACATGCTGCTAGCTACCTTGCTAACATGTATAATGATTTTACTCCACTGGTTTCATCCCTCTGCAGGCTGCACACTGTGTTTTATCTCAAAACCCGGAAAATAAAGAGCTGGCTCGTTTCTACTGCTTCACACAGAGGACCATTGCAAGACGTTTAGTTCTTAGACAGTAAGTTTAAATCAATCTCAAGACATGTTCGTCTGGTATTGATTTTATTTTGAAGGCTGACTCACAGCCAGTCACTTCATAATGACGTCAGGTGCGTCACTTTTGCTTCCCTGTAAAGAAACATGTTGTTTTGTTGTTTGTTTTTCTTTGTTGCATAGCTTTTCATTTGTATGTGGACATTGATCCAACTAAAAAAAGCTATTCAGACATACATTTTATTTTTCAGGGATCAACAATAATAATATTAACAATAATAATAATAATAATAATATCAACCAACAAGCACTGTCTGTGTAAAGTTAGCTACAGTATGATGTATTTTATTAAATATTAAAAACACATGAATTAGACAGTGTTGTACTGAATGACTTGTTCCTCCTTTATGATGAACATGGGCACTGTAGTTTTTGGGTCAGTCCCACACGCACTGTACTGCTGCTGTTAGCAAAACATATAAATCAATCCACTGTTGAAAATAGTCCTCAACAAATGCACCATTTCCTCCTGTTTGAGTAAAGTTTCCCAAAAACTACAGTGCCCAGCCTTTGTAGTAAATTACTGAGCCTTTTAAAAGACTGAAACTATATATGTGTGACACATTTTGAAAGATTTAAATGTTTAGTAGGGACCAATGGGCTTTAGGATAAGAGCCATAGACAGGGTTGGTAGACCCAAGAAACAAATATAATAATACTAGCATTATCTTTTAAGTCTAACCTGTCCAAGCATAAATAGGATTTCCAGCATCTGTTAATTATTCATTTTATCGCAGAGACCCATCAGTGAAGAGAACATTATGCAAGAAGTGCTGCTCATTGCTCATCCCTGGTGTAACTGCTACAACAAGACAACGAAGTAAGTGTCTGTCATTCATAGTGACAGTTCAGTTCCTGCCGTTCTCCATGTTACCTAGCATTGCATACACAATGTCATTAGATGTCAGATGTTTTAGGTTTTTTAAACAGTTAATTTAGATGTTTAATCATCAGTTTGTTTGCTAAATTGAAATAAACATGTTCAGAGACACTAACCTTGTTTTTGTTGACTTTGTCTTGCTAGGAAAAAACAGCAAGACTCGCTTTACTGTTCTGAGGTGCCTCAGCTGTGGGCAGAGCAAGACGTTACTGAATAATCCAGATTATTGTTTGTGGGTAGACCGTCCCGAGGCTCAGCTGCAGCAACAGAAGCAGCCAGGTGACAGAGCTCAACTCAACACTGTACGGCATACTGTGCTCCTCTAAACAGTACTCTGCTCTGAAGCATCAAGCATTTTAGCATTAGCAATTTTTCTATTAATTTTGAAGATTAAATATACTGGGAGCCTGAAACAGAATGTGTAAATTAGCTACCGAATACTGCAGAATTGAAGTTGAATTGAAAAAGTAGCAAATTCAGATTACTCAACTTTGTACTGACCATTATTATTTGTTCTTTCTCACCCACAGATCAGGGCCCTTCTCTTAAGAATCAGCCAAAAGACAGAAAGCCTGATGGATCAGCGTCTTCTAAACCCAGTGCTGCCCAGAGCACGTAGCAGCAGTTCCCCTCTTCTCACCGATGAATATGAAGGATATTTCTCTTTTTGTTTAAAATATGTGTGGCTTTATTGGGTTGCATGTATCCATATCTGAGGAAGTTGTTTGATATTATTTAAATACCAACCTTTTGCTTCTGTATTTTAGTAATTTATTGATTTTGATATGATTTATTGTTTTTTTTTATTTTTTTTTTTTGGCCTGTATGACTTTATGTATCAGTGTAATTTCTGATGCTACCAGCAGATGGCCATCGTGTGGTGTCCCACACATGCATTAAAAGAAGAAATGTTGGTAAAAGTATTTTTCTTTTTTGATTTGGTTTTTCCAAAAGAAAATTATCATTCATGATTTTATTGAAAACAGCCATCAAGAATGGAGAATTTCACCAATTCGCCACATTTTTTTTACGCTTAGTATTTTACATTTTCTGTACAGGCATGTGACTGTTACTTGAGGAAAATATCTCTTGACCATTAACCAATTTTGTTGTCAGGTACTTTCCTAAATTGGTGATTAAAAGAAAATACAAATTTCCAGTTTCTTTCACATTTTCTTATTTTCTCCTTTGTCCCCCTTTGGCACTCTGAAACGTGTCTTCTGAAAATATAGTAGGTTCTTGGCAAAAATCCTTGGAATGTGTCCCATGTACAGGAGAAGAGCAAGAATCATGCCTAGAAAACAGACATTCAGTGTAAACAGTGTGTTCACTTTTAAAGAATATACCAGGATGCACATATATTTGATTTGAATGTAATTTACCTGTGAGAGGACCCAGCCAGTAGACTACTGCATACTCTGTGAAGGTAAATCCAGGGCAGTGGAAGGTGAGGCCGTAGGCCAGGGATGGGTTCATGTAAGCGGAGGTGTAGCCTCTGGCTGCAGAAAAGAACAGACCAATAAAGTTTAAGGTCCTTGTGAGCATAGCAGTGTTTATCAGTTATAGCTAAGTTTATAAAAGCAAGTTGAAGCATAACCCTGATTACAAACAACAAGAAACTAAATATTGAAATATTATCCAGTGAAACGGCAAAATGAGCACACTAATAATGAAATGCAATTTTCTTCTCTTTTATAGACTCATGGTCGAATTCTTTGGCCAAATTCATTAAAGTATGCATGAGTGATAAGGAATTTATTGAAGTATGTCAGAGGCCACATTCAAATACAGCTACCATTAAAAGATTCTCAGTGCAGTTTGCCTTCTGTAGATGAAACTGATCCCAGATGATACTACGCATGCACTGAGCCATTATTTATATATATTTATTTTATTTTATTTATTTTTTGCAAAACTTTTTAAATGAAAATGTTCCTTTTTTCCTGCAGGAATTTTCTCATATTTACAAAAGTACACAGGTTTCTTTGTAAGAGTGTATTTTGAAAGAGGGGGCAGGTTCACATACAACCTACCTGTATGGGACAGGAAAGTGAGGAGGACAGCGATCAGAGGCACCCGGATCAGAGCAGATCTGCGTTGCAGGTTTAGATGGATTAGGTGAAGGATGAGCGTGCAAACACACTCAGTGAAAAAACCCTGAAGCAAAGAGACCAGCAGAGATGTGCTGCACTCTCTAGCCATCAGATTTTTGATCATGTGCATGTCTGTCAGCTCCAGACTCCAGTAGTACACCGCTACAAGAAGGCCAAGGTGGGCCCCAAGAAACTGGGATGTAACAGCAAGGAGAGAGGGCAGGGTGGTGGCCTCTAGCTGCAGGAACTTAAGCACCACCCGGGTGGGATTCCCTGACAAACCACCACAGATCACCCCGTGGGTTAGCAGCACCACAAACAGAATGGTCACAGTCACATCAGGACCCAAGCCTCCGGCCCACTCACCCACCTCCACTATGGTCTGCACCTCCAGCCAACATGCCACCAACATAAAAGAGGATGCAAACTCTGAAACGAAGCTAAACCGTGGCCATTTTTTAAGTAGTGTTCGAACTGAGGCTGCAAATATCACAACAGCCAGGAAGTATCCGAGAGATGCGTTCAGTCCAGACATGGCTCAGATCAGGTGTCCCCTGCTGTTTCTTTTCAAAAAGAAGTGAATGAGGGTTTGACTCAAAAACTGTGCTTTCGTTTTGGCAACGTGGCACATGCAGAGACACATTTCTTATCAGAGACACGTCAGGTTTGTATCCCATGACCACCTGCCAAAATACACATGGGCCTTTGCAAGGTCAGGTCAGGAACCTGGCCTTCATTCAGTGGTCATGTATAATTAGATCAAGGCTTTGGTTCAATGCTTCCTTCCTCTCTCTACAGGATAACATATACCATAAATGTTCTTTTTCCTAGAACTAAGTGGCATAAGAGTAATACAAATTCAAATGAAAACATACCCCCACTGGATTCAAAGGTTGCGGGGATGGTAGTCCAGTATAACAATAAAGGCGGTGCTTGAATTGGAATAAAAAAAGGTGCCAGTACTCTGAACCAGCAGCTTATATATTCTGTACCACTTCTGACTTGTTCAAAGTATGGTGTATATTATTTTATATGATTTTGTCTCTGTCTCAGTATGTGTTATGACTCTGAAAGGGTTGAACAAAGATTATTTATGTGATCAGTCCATGGTGAGTGTGGTCTAATCAGCTTTGAATACTGAGCTCCACCTGCCACTTGTCTTTATTGTAACCCAAAGTTACCACTTAGTCTTAGAGAAAGTCAATAAACGCTATAATCATTTGTTTGCTGTTTCATTGGTAAACTATTTAAACTGACAAAAGAGAGCAATCGACCTGGCACAGACTCACATAAAATACAATTCATTAAACACTAAGATGAGCATTAAACAGGCATGCAATGCTTGAACTTCTGTTGTGAAGTTAAACTAATACGTTTATTTGCATTGCTAGTCTTCCACCCATCTCTAATGAGGGCGTGCTGCACAGTTTGTTGCAACTGCAAGATATCAAGTTAGGTCCACAGGCAATGTTACACTAACAGAACTGCTCCAATGTTTTTTTTAAGTTCTTTACTTTAGGAAGAGGGATTTTCTTTTCCCCTATATTAAATTACACTGTTAACGAATACTCTAATTGCTTGTTATTCCACCATTAAGTATGCGTTTTGTCTCCATCTTGTGGTTGAAGTGTTAGTAAACATAACATTTCTGCATACTGCTGCTGCATCAACAGAGAATGGTGTCACTTGCTGTATGATCCATACACACATAGACACACACAAGCAAAGAGACAGATCATAAACGTTTGTTTCTTTATAGTGTTTAGGGTTCATTTAGCTAAGCTTCTTTTGTAAGTGTGACTTTTAGGTATTAGGTGAATGTGTGATTTTTTATGTAGAAAATTGGATCTACATAACAAAACTTGGCTGAAAATCTCCAAAACAAACCCCATGAAGATCTCTGAATGAAGGCAGACATACAATACAAATAGTCCTTTCTGCCTCCAGTCTGGAGTCCAGCCCAAAAATCTCAGCTCCAAACCAGGGCTTTACACATAAGACATTTGTACATGTCACAATCAGGAATGCACATGTGTAAATAATTCAAAAATTAAAACTGAATTCCATTTAGCTGCTACAATTTCAGGGTCCTGGTACTGTACATGCTGGCTCACTGTCACACAACATAAGACCCTACTCTATTCTTCTATGAACTCTGTTAATGTTAAAGCTGTATACTTTCTCTAATGTTAAGATAAGATTACATAATAACTTGTCTTTATTGATCCACAGATCAATAGTTTTGAGCAATTCACTTCAGTTTTATTTGTATAGCGCCAAACCATAACAAAAGTTATCTCAGGACACTTTTCAAATAGAGCAGGTCTAGACTGTACTCCTTATACAATTATTTACAGAGACCCAACAGTTCCCACCATGAGCAAGCACTTGGCAACAGCAGCAAGGAAAAAACTTCCTTTTGACAGGCAGAAACCTCGGACGGACACTGGCTCTAGTGGGTGGCCATAAGATGCATAAGGAGAGAAATAATACAGATTCAAAGAGAAAAGTAAAATCATATTAAATTAAATTGAGAAATAACATGGAAACAAGAGCAATTAAACTAAATATTATGTAGTACACTGTACATATGACACCCACAAACACTTAAACTAGTAGTACAGTACTGTTTGAAATGATAGTGGTGTGGTTAATGGCTGGAAAGTATAGTACATGTAAGAGATATAGTACAGTATAATATATTATGGAAAATAAAATCTAAGGTCAAATGCAGTAATATAGTATAACATAATATATCAAAGCAACAGAATATAGAGTATAAAGTATGAGTATAGTATATATAAAATAAATATAGTTTAATACATAACAACATAAGTGAGTATATGTTTACTATGGGAGGAAATGTAATTCATGTAATTGAGTTTATAGTCTACATAACATAACGTTAACTATCTACATCTAACAACTAACAGTCTAAAACAGTCCAAACAACTGACTGTAACTCTTCTATATTCTAACTAATGAATGAATGAATGTAGCTCCTCACTTGTGATTGGATTATATAGATCACATGTAAGATTAAAAACCAGGAAGTGCTGTTGTATTGTATACAATACATCCATGAATGAAAGTATGGGGGAATTATTAAATCTGTAGAAAAGATAACAATCTCCATCCAGCTCCTGCTCTAAGTTTCCACCCCCCTCATGTAACAAATGATCATTATGAAGATGTAGTCGGTATATTCTGAGAGCCACTGCCTTTATAGCCGCTAATGTCAGTGACAGTGACAGTAAAGAAACCACGGTCATTCTGCCGAGTGCTCTGTGATGTTGAGAGTTGAGGCGGAAGTTGTGAAACGTCGACGTCCCCAGGTTGTGTGTGTGTGTGTGTGTGTGTGTGTGTGTGTGTGTGTGTGTGTGTGTGTGTGTGTGAATAGCAGCGGGTGAGCCAGTGAAGTGATGGCAGGGGAAGAGCCGACTCTCAGAGAGGAATGAGAACTTGTCGGGGATGGCGGACAAACCTCTGACATTGTTTGTGAAGCTGTTTGCCGCTGGGTTTTACGGTCTGAGCTCGTTTATCATCGTCGTGGTGAACAAAAGTGTCCTCACCAACTACAGGTAACGGTTTTCTCTAACGCCTATAACGGTCGTAACGTTAGTTGAAAAAACGGCTACCGTGTTAGCTAACCTAGCAACTGTTGGCTGGAGAGAGGAGCCAACACGGTGGAGCTTATTAGCTAGCGGCAACTTTTGGCTAGCGAGGATGGCCGTGTGGTACAGACTGAAATAGGACAGCTTCACTTACAGTAGCATTGTAGGAAGCTATACCGGGGTTAAGTACGAGGTTAGCTACAGTGTGCTCGGGCTATAGGCTGTAATGTTCACTGGGACTTCATTAACTAACTCACTCTGCTGTTCCTTTCAGGTTCCCTTCTTCAATATGTGTCGGAATTGGACAAGTAGGTTCAATGCTTTTCCCCTTTTTGTGCAACGATATTCCCTGAAAGCAGGCAGACTTGAAGTAATTCTCTGTTACTGAATGTGTGTGTGTGTGTGTGTGTGTGTGTGTGTGTGTGTGTGTGTTTGTGTGTGTGTGTGTGTGCAGATGTTGGCCACAGTGGTTGTGCTGTGGGTGGGCAAGGCTGCGAGGGTGATCAGCTTCCCAGACTGTGATGAGAGCATACCTCGTAAAGTGAGACCCACCTATCCATCTCTCTAAGATGATGTGCATTGCACCCCGATCAGTTTTTTTTTCTTCACAGTATCTACATGTTTTCCTGGTTTTACAGACGTTTCCTCTACCTCTCCTTTATGTGGGAAATCAAATCACTGGTCTGTTTGGAACCAAAAGGCTGAAGTAAGTCTGTGAATGATGGTTACAGGGAAGTTGGTTCAGTGCCATCATGAGCTCATTGGGCACGGCTGTTGATGTTTGGCCAAGTTTAAGCAATTTTTTGTCCTCTCCCACCAGTTTGCCGATGTTTACTGTCCTCAGGAGGTTCTCCATATTGTTCACAATGATGGCTGAGGGACTTTTGCTCAAGTAAGATTGCACAAGAGATAACCCACTTTTCTCAGTTATCTACTGGTCCTTTTAGTCACAGAGACACTAAGCCGTTCTCTTTGTACTGGTTTGCAGCTTTTATTTAGAGCAGCCAGATTGAATTTCATTGCTCTACTGTCTTTGACCTTTGGCAGGAAGAAATTCTCCAGGCCTGTCCAGCTGACAGTATTTACAATGATCCTCGGGGCGTTTATAGCCGCAAGGTAAGTTCTACTACATCCAGGTGTCCTGGCTGTTAACCAAACCAGAATTACCCCCACTACAAAGGGTTGCCCAGCCCTGATATATGTCCACACTTAAGTTTTATTGTATTTAGGGTCATTAGACACATGTATATTTGAAGTTAAAGGAGTCCTGCTGAAACAGAGCATGCCCAAAGCTAAATCGTTAGTGAGTCACAATAATTTACTCCCATGACACTTTCTTTCGTTTTCTCTCATCCCCTTTTTTGTAGTGCTGACTTGTCCTTTGACCTGCAAGGCTACGTGTTCATTCTCATGAACGACGTTCTGACTGCAGCCAACGGAGCCTATGTGAAACAAAAATTAGATGCGAAGGTATGTGGCAGCCCCATTTGATGAATAGTAACCATTGTTGGGTTGGAGCCGTTTTTGGCTTTGAGCTGATGTTGGTGAATGTAGAGAACCCAAACTGTCCTTCAGCAGCTGGCTTGAAGGAACTCAGTGTACACAAACACCATGAGTTATTTTTACTCCCTGCTAAGTTGATTTAATAATCACTGTTTGAATCTGTTTTTGTAGAGAAAATATCATTTGTGTGTAAAAGTTGTGCTTAAATAGGTTAACTACAGTTGAGTCAGAAATGACTTGTAGCTTCTTTAAGTTGTTTTTTTTTATGTCACATGAGCAGACTTTGTAGCTCTCACATTACAGCAGAGGCAGAACGGATCCAGATTTAGTCTGGTGTCTGTAGACCACCAGCTGTTAATACTGAGCAGGACAGAGAGAGTTATGTGAGTGTGAGAGATTGTAAGGAAGTGAAGAGAAGATGAAGAGCCACATAAAACAGAATCAAATAAATGCAAACAAGAGGTTCTAGGTAGTGCAGTGAGCTGGGCCATGCATGACATCTGTACGCTAGTTAGTGAGGAATGCACAGAAAGACTTGTGAATAACCCTCTCTGTTCTGGCTCTGCTTATTTTTCATGTTCCTCTTGCTCCCTGCTCATCTATCTTTATACTCTTTCTTGTAGGAGTTGGGGAAATATGGATTGTTGTATTATAACGCATTATTTATGATCCTTCCCACTATACTGTTGGCTCATGTGACTGGAGATATGCAGAAGGTAAGCAGTTCCTTCATTCAGACCTCCAAACATCTTTATTCATTAGATTTGTGGAATGTAACTGTGGTTAAACTGTCAAGTTAAGTCTTTGTAGTTAGTTTATGGTGTTGGAACTGATCAGTCATTGCTTGGTTTAATCCTAAATTGATGTGCGCACATTTGTGTGAGCATGGGTGTGTGCCGTAAATATGAGCTGCCTGTTTGTTGGTGAGTGTTGGCAGAGACCTTCTGGTTCGCCCAGCTGGGGCCCAGCAGCCAGGAAGGCACAAAGCAGCTATTATGCACCTAGTAGAGTTATTACAGCAGCGCCTACAACCTCTCTTGACTGAATAACCTCAGTAGAGATACAGACAACTACCTTTTAAAGCTGTTGGAAACTCAGTGTTTAATTAAAGTACGTACATCTTAGTTGCGTCATTAACCTTAACTCCCTAAAATGTGATCCACAACTCTGCAGTGCTCCACTGAATGCCAGACCAGATATGTTCATAGGGAGTGACTTGAATTTTTTACTAAACAAACTACATTTTTTACTCATTTTGAATACACAATTACCTAGTTATCTAGCATTATTCTATTTTTTATGTATGCTTTCGTGTGTGTGTGTGTGTGTGTGTGTGTGTGTGTGTGTGTGTTCACTTTTAGAGTTCAGTTGTGTTTTATTCTTCTCTTCTTAGGCAGTGGAATATGATGGTTGGTCAGATGTGTTTTTCCTCACCCAGTTCATCCTCTCTTGCATCATGGGGTAAGAATACAGGCCAAAGCTTACACAGCTTGCATGCATGTGCCAGCAAACAGCATTGTGTTTTGTGCCAGGATTGAACACCTGGATTTCACAGAATCTCTGTGGCACTGCTGTTATATCAGTGGCTGAAATCTAGACTCTAGGCCTTCTCTTGAAGCTCACATTGACTCTTTGTCAACCATGTATAACATTATGAAATATGACTTTGTGAAAGTGATGAGTCATTTGTAATATGATAGCGTGGTTGTTTTGCAGGTTTGTTCTGATGTATTCCACTGTGCTTTGTACACAATACAACTCTGCATTGACAACTACGATTGTGGGCTGCATCAAGGTAAGTTCAGATCTGTGTGAAGTTGTAGTTAAAATACACTAAAACACACAAATGTATTAATATTTTCTCCATTTTGCAGAATGTCCTTGTGACATACATCGGTATGGTGTTCAGTGGAGACTACATCTTCTCTTGGACTAACTTCATAGGTTTGAATATCAGGTAGGACATGACTTGGTACTCAAATGTCCAGTTGTCTTCATAGATGTTCGTACATGTCACATCAGACGTCCCAAATAATGAATCCTACTGACCTCAGTGATCCCTGAATGTTCAGTTTTGTTTTTCTGAAAATATATAAATGATGGCAGACAAGTACTGGAGGCTTTATAATTATAATGTGATCTTCTGTGCCACAGGGCCTTAATAAAGTCCTTGTGGGCTGTTTTAAATTTCTTAAACCAATCAAAACCAGGCCTCCCGATTTCCATCATTGAGGCTTATTAGCTTGAAGAGGTCTGGTTCTGGTTGTAAACAGATGTAAACTAATTTGATATTTGTTTTTTGAGAGCCAAAGACAAAGTCAGTGCTGACACGGATATCACTGATAGCAATGTGCCAATCAGCCGCAGGAATTTATATGTGCCTGCTAGAACTCGTTGGGTTGTATGATGCATTTCATGACTAATGATGTGCTGCAACATGTTCATCTTTACGCGGATCGCCACAAATCACATCATTTTCAAGACCTGTTTTGCCTGCAACGATCAGATGAAAGTTCTGTATAGCCTCTCCAACATTAGTCCAAATAACTAATTTCTAGTTATTCAAATCCTCTTTACTAAACAGTGTTATCCTGCCTTTTTATCACACGATTAGAGTAAATATAAAACTTTGCATTTAGCTTCATTTGGTTGGTTTTTGTACTGGTGTGAAGTGTTTGTATACATGAACATGCGGTCTTTGTTGCAGTATTGCGGGCAGCCTGGTGTACTCCTACATCACTCTCACAGAGGAGCAGTCCAACAAAGCAAGTGAAAGCACCAAGCTGGACATCAAGGGCAAGGTGGTTGTATGACAGAGACACTGGATTTTATTATTTTTATGCTGATGAACAGGAAAACTCTATTTTTAGTAGAACTTTTATTTATGGAGTATTTTAGCAGCAAAGGTGTTGACTGGTGGGAATGGTGCTGTGTCCGTTTCCTTACCATGTTTGTGTGGAAATGGAGCCACGCCGTCCCCATGACTCTTGCCGCTGCCATGGTTACGAACCCTCCAGAGGGATTGTGGGTTGATTTTTTTTAGATGGTGTTTTCTTTTTAAATATTTGTATTTTGATACTGTACATGTGAGCATTGAGAAGAAGGGAAACCTGGAACCAATATTATTTATGTTACATTTCCTGACATAAAGACAAACTGAACGTTAAAAGTTAAATGTTGGAATGACACAATGTTTCCTGAACACAGGATTGAACAGCTGGAATGATCATTTGTTTAAAGCTTGGGTGTGTACTGACAAATCGTGGGAATAGTAAGTAATAGTTATTTTAAAGGCACAATCCTTATTTTATATTGCCTTTTCTGGTTTGCTGTTTACAAGGGATGTAACTTAAGATGCATTCTAAGCACAGCGAGATGCACTGACACTCATTATCTGTTGTTTCAGTTTTTAGTCATGTACATTTCTTTTGATGTTTGCGCATACACTGTTAAAAGCTTATTACAGACAAACGGTAATGACAGTGATCTAACCTCATCCTTTAAACAACCAAAGTGGATGGGCAGTGGGGCTGTCGGTTCCCATCAAGGATTGTGGCTTTAAATAATGTTGCTGCCTCCTTTTGGGAGATAATTTAAGATTAGTTTACATGTTGCTCTCTCAGTATTACAGAATTGTTGTTGTGGACTCTCCAAGGTTGTAACTGGTTCTCTCTTTGCAGAACTAACAAACAGTACTTCTGGTTCATTTGTACAAGGGGATCCATTTCTTATTTTTTCCTGACACATTATCGCACTTTTAACTGAGGTTGCACCTGCAAGAAGGGTGAAACCATATTGCCTCACCTCCTGTTATGTTCATTGTTGAGATTGAGATTATTGTACTTTCCTGAAATGTATGTTTCAAGCAAGAGAAACATGGTTTTCTAAAATGTTAATAGTCAGGTACAAGTGTTATCTTTTCTTTTCTGTTTTTTACATTTTTATCTACATCATTTTATATTTATTACTTTTTTTTTTAGACAAATTCCTTTTGTAGGTGGAGTAACTTGTGCATTGTTGATGCTGATCTCAAACACAGTAACCATGGATTTGTAGCAATGATGTATTTTTACATAAAAAAAAAACTTGACATGATGTATTCCTTGGGATTTGTTCTTCAGGTCATTTTAGTATCTAGCATCTTATTTACAGAGAACATACTGTGGTGCTCACCATATAAGCATATCCAAGATCACTATGTTACTGTTTTCTCCAATTTCCTCAAATATCCTACTTTAGTCTCGTTTAAAATTAGATATTTATTATATATACAAATATATAGATATATATTTTGTAATTATTCATTTTAAAACATCCTAATGTCTCTCAATCCTGAATAATTCAACACAGTTCTGTGACTGAGGCTCTGTCTGTATTTGGAGCTGATGATAAACTACAGTAGAGCAATGGTTCCCCCTTCTGTCATATCTGGCAAAACGTGACATCACAGTGGACCCGCCCACAGGATTAAATTTAGATTCACTCTAGCTCCTAAATTGTACACCAGGGCTATATTCATTTTTTATTACTACCACAAGGAGTCACCAAAATCAAACATTTTCATATTGTGCACATATATGGTTTTGTTTTTGGCCACTTTATGCAACTTACAGATCACACCATATGAACTAAAGTACTGTCAAAAGGGCTTCAAACCCTACACTGTTACCAAACATATATGTAAAACATTTCTAAAAGTCAATATTTCAACTTCATTGGCTCCATTTAGTCCAGTTTACTGAAGAACAAAACCGACAAACGTGTCACTGCCCCACCCCTCACCAACTGCACTGTGCATATATAGTCTTGATTAAGTTTTGACTGCACTTCCTGAGTTAATACTACAAATGAATCTAATCTGGGGAAGAGAAGAAGAGCACATAACTGAAAGGTAACATTTTAATAAAAATAAAAAAAAACACCATACATGTCAAAACATCTGTTACAAACCCGCTACCATAAATAGCTCATGACCTCTGACCTCACTAGTCTTCAGGCAACTTGCATTCAGTACTACACGAGCCACACTCACAGTTATAACCCTCAAACAAATTGAGAAACTGGCATAAATATCCACTAATTAATGTAAAAATGTCTGCTAAAGTGTCCAAATATAGCTTTTATCTATATGCACAAAACCGTCATTTTATATGAATTTAAACTGGCCAAGCTAACGGGCAAGGTAAGGATGTGTACAGTACAGTACAAAAACTACCAGGTAATATTGCATTGTGTTTGCTAGTAATGGGCATATAATAAGCACCTTCATCACTCAAGTCTGAACAAACCAAAGAAAAACAAGAAAGGAGTTTCAGAAACTGTACTCTGCTGCCTCTGCCCTGATTAAGGAGGTGCTGTTGCTGTTGGTTTTACTTTGGTTTAATATTTATATATTAATATATTGTAGGCCAACACGAACAGAAACCAGACAAAACTAATCGATAGAGGAGTTTCACTGATGCAGTTACAACAAGGAGGGGCCATCATAGCACAAAGAGGTTTGTAAGCATCATTTCAACATGCGCAAGAGAAGACAGCAGAGCTTACCACGGATCCTCTCTGCTTGATATGGGAAACAAACAACAAAGCAAAGATGCTCTGACACCTGAGACCACAGAACACAACTCATGACTCGTAACTTCCAAACAGCTACATCATAATCTTTGAACACATTCAGACATACAGTACATAGTGGTGTTGAGTAAATAAGGCAACAGGTTAATTTCCATTTTATGCACAATGTAAGGTAACAATGTACATGGCGGTTATACTGGTATGGTTAGTGAAAGAGTGTAGAGATATCATTCAGGTCTTCAAATAGACAATACTACGGAGCCCCTGAAGGGTCATGGTGGGGTTTTTCTTTTTTAAACTACACTTGTGAAGTTGAGGGGGGAAAAAAGACCATTCTGATCACTGTGCTCACCAACAGTATAGCAATACTGTCACTGACTACAGATCAATACACTGGATTGGTTCTAACTCCGATATAACAATCACATGACTGGTCCAAGTGTGTTTCGGAAAGGCTAAAAGCAGTTTTGATTGTATAACATATAGTAAAACCTTTCTTTTCCATACCAGCAGCAAGCAGCACAAAGATAAGATAAACCTGAAAAAAAAACCAAAAACCTGTCACACCACACTGTGACCAAGTTATAAAAACTGCACCTAAACAGGAAGAGCAGGACTGAGCAGCAGGAGAGCAGAACCCATAATTCATTTAGCAAAGAATTCATTTCTGTTGCTTTCATATAAAAAGGTGCAGTGCATTGGGCTATTTGTTGCTATGATGTCTCTGATAATGCAATTACAAACATGTTAAACACATTCCTCATGTTTTAGGATCCTGAAAAAGGTACCATAGTGTAATGGTAAAGGGAAATCTCAAGGGTGCCACCGGCCTCAGCCACACTAGGTGAAAGGTGAGGCATTACTCATTGCAGGAACTGATTTGTCTCCCAACAACCTTTAGGAGAGAAATGCAGCTTCAGTGACCGATCGTCTCAAAACCAACAAAACACTAGGATCTAAATCTAAGTATGGAGGCTGTATCCTTTCATTATTCCCCAAGGCACCAGAATATTTACCAGACTTTTTATCTCACAGCTTATAAGGCAAAGCGAGATACTTTATGTATTAAATATATAACTTACTGCTTTGATACACAAAAATATGAGTTTCTAGATTTGTGAGGGAGTGATGTGGGAGTGACTATGTTTCCATTTAACAGTCCAGCTGCTGTTAGTTTTAAAGTGTGACGAGGTTCTCAGCCATGTAACAGAGACTGTAGAAGTTACAACCAATGCAGCAGAGGTTACAGAGCGAGGACAGAAACCTGTACAGCCACAGACGACTGCTGAGGTGTCTATATTTGCCATCCGTCTCACACAGCTTGGCGTAAACCTCGCGGTTTGACGACAGGCCGATGTCCTGACCCAATCCGCACGCCTGCTCGATGAGGTGCATGTCTGCCATGATCTCGGATGTCATCTGGCCAAACCACTGGGCATTTACAGCTGCGACTGTCACAGACACAAAGAAGATGAAGATCTGGTGGGAGAAGTAGAGACAGAGATTAGAGAAAGGAGCTAAAATTGATTTTTATGCAATGTGGAAACAAACAACACACCTGAAAGGCTTCTCTGTCATCCAGCAAGTCGCTGGGATGATACACAGCATAGATGGTGAGGTTAAAGAAGGCACAGGCTGAACCCAAGTGGAGGTAAAACGGGACAAGACGACTCTGGATGAACCCATAGGTGTGTCTGTTCAAGTGGTTGTCCATCACAAAGCCTGTGCAGAAATCACAACAGCTCATTAGGTACTGCAGGGGACGTCCTGGCATTTATGTCCATAAAAACTGATGACTTATACTAATGTATCTAATTAAGAAGTAAAGTATTCAGATTTAGTATATAGACCTTAATTACACTGTGTTTATCAGACTTTTGACAATTTAAGACACTTGCATCAATCCAAATGCTTGATACATGCTCTACCTTACTTCTCTGCTCTACGGTTTTAAGTACACTATTAAAAACCTTTGTTTGCATAAATACATCCACAATGGTCTACCACAATAGCAACAAGGCAAAAAACATTGGGTTTGTGGCTGAATACTGGCAGGAAAGTCAGATGCTGCAAAGGGTCACTTTCAGTTAATAATAAACTATGCTGCATAGCATGTAGACAGATATGTGAAGTGGAAACCCACCGACACACCTGGATAAACTGAGTGACTGAACTAGAAAGAAAGCAAGTCAGGGTCTGAATGTAGGCATGAAGGTAACCTTGATATGGATGATACAAAGGCACTAAAGAGCATTCTGGGTGATCCAGATCCATAAGTGGACATATATAAATACAGGTGTGTATTTAATGTATGCATTACTGAATTTGATCACTCAGATCACACTCGAAACCACACTGAAAAAACACTTCAATCATTATTATGTAGGGTGACAAAACACGTCCTAAACATATCCTAAATGAGTTACCAGCCTCTCCTTTTCTTTCCCTCATCATCCCTCACTCGTGTTTCTTTTCTGTGTACATTTCTGCGTGTGCGTGCATGTTACCAACTTGAAATAAAGGTGACCCAAATCTGCATTCCCCAGTAGGTGGAGAGAAGCAGCAGCTGCAGCATCTTGACTGTGAACGTGGGCTCCTGGTCAGTGGACATGCTTCCTCCACAGCTTCTTTCTTCCCCAGTCTGGATTCCACCGTAGTCTCCCAAACTGCACCGTCTGGAAAGGCCTGATGCTCCACCCCAGAGCCTCTGTAAACACAATGAGGATGCCATTAAGGAGGTTGGAAGAAGTGCAGCAACTGAGGAAGAATGTCTAGCTTTCTGTCACTGCAGGGTGAAGCTGTAGACCGAAACCACACCTGTAGATAAGAACAACACACCTCTCGGTACTGGGACAGATTAGACAGCAGGTTAAGTGTTGTATTTGTGTCAATGCTGAAATCAGTGCAGGGCACAGTGTACGCCAAACACTTCCGCACTGTTGTCAAGGAAACTGGGTGTCTGTTTTGACCTTACCCAGTGTGTAGACTAATATCAACCCAGTAGGAAAATAAAACATGCATGTGAGCACATCCCACTAATACTCACTAACGTTACTCACACGGCTAATTTCAGCTAACTTAGACAAGACCAACAAAACCCGACAGCAGCAGACGGCTGACTGACAGAGCTGTACGGCAACAAATCTCCAAAGTCACCTTTACAACAACGAACTAACGCCAAGTATTAGTATGAACTCATTTAACACTAAGTTAAGTTAGTGGTTGCCACCATGTAGCAGACAGTAAGTAACGTCCTCATTAGCAACTAGCGTTAGCTAAAGTTAGTAAACCGTGGAACTTAGCGCAAGTTAGCTTAGAAAACTACTGCTGTAGGCTAGTTGCAATTCATTGTTATTTATATTATATTTATGATCTTAACAGGACTAACATAGTTAATACTATAAGTGTACGGCCTACCTGTGTTGCCAATAACTCCGGGCAGCTTGTTGCAGATGTCTCCGGCTCTGACAGTAAACTTACCTGCTGGTAGTATAACGCTGCTAGCATAACTCACTTAGTAAGAAGAAGGCGGAACCACAAGTGTCAGGATGTACTAAACTCACTAACAGCGGACACACTACTACTGGTTCCCCCCCCCGACAGGTCCTTCAAACACAGGCACTGTGGGGGGAAGTCTGCTTGAGTTTATTTGCTGTATGCTGTGTGGTTATAATAACAAGTATCTGTATGTAGGCTACGGGATGTAGAACCAGTAGAGACTGGTTTGAGTTAGGTCAAGAACAAAGTTAGGTTTGCGCTGTGCTGTTATTCAAATAAAGGGAAATATCTGTTAAGAGCATATCAATTTGTGGTCATATGATAACACATTTTTTTTAAAAAGCACGCCCAGTGACAAACAAAAGAAACAAGAACTCTGGCTTGCACTGTGCTGTTATTCAAATAAAGTCAAATGAATCTTTTAAGAGCAAACAAATCAGCCCAGCCTATGTGTGTGATGGATGTGGACCCTTATTACTATAATGCAGACTGGTATTTATCTGCAATAGGTCTGGACAATTAATCACAATATCAAAATCGCAGAAGCTGTAATTTATTGTTAGAATGAATTACTGTAGAAGAGAACAATATTTGTAGGCCAGGGCACCTCTGCATAACAAATCTTGTTCTCCAAATGTAAGAAAACAGACCATCATCAGTATCATCAGACATCTTAACGATTTTAATAGTTCTTTAAGTGAAAATGCAATTTGTGATGGCACAGTGAATCATATCGCAATATCTCTGAAAATAATCGCAGTATGATGTTTTTACCGTATCATGCAGCCCTAATTTCCAACAACTTCAGAATCTATATTTAACAAACATGACAATGATATTTATTCAAGAAAAATAGTTTTTAATTCATTCACTCAACCCTTACACAGTCCTGGTGATGTGATCTGATTTTGATATCAAAATAGTAACTTATTAAGTTACAATATACCTTTTTTCTTTTACTTTAAATGTCATAGATTTATCACAAAAGTATATGTTTTAAAATATGTGTATGACACTTATTATGAAGCCATGTTTTCAAAGAGTATGGCACTGTGGAAACTGTAGGTAAGACTGACCGGTTGAAAGGTATACAGAAAAAAAAAAGGCAAAAAGTCTGTGATAAACACAGATAAGATTGTTAAACAGGGAAACGTTTCCTATGATACACGTTTAAAAAAGTAAACAAAAAAATATTGGTACTGTTTGCTCTCAACAGGTTACCATATGGGTTTGGAGTCAAGCTCTAAATGAAATGAGAACATGAATAACCTAAGTGTGTACAGAAAGAGGGAAACGAGAACATATTCATGAGTTATCACTTAAAACAATTACAATAGTTGTGCTCCTGCTTCACGTTGATAGACGGGCCTCTTAAGCCACAGTCTGGCTGCTAACAATAAAACATATTTTAGCTATTATTAGTGTGTGCAAAGCTTAATCCCACCTTAGAAGATTCTGAGATGTATCTTTGTGTAAATCAGTTTTTAGTTTTTGCTGAAAAATCCCCAAACAGACAGATGCCTCCATGTATCTGTGTCACAGGGCAGAGGTCAGGTACCAGTGAGGGGGGTGGGGGGTGTCAGTGTCGGGCAGATTTACAGATTTTGTCGTAAACCTCCGGGAAGGCCTCCTTACAGCCTAGTTCCTCTCTCAGTCTGTGATACAGCTGTCCATCAAACATCTCCCAAAACTCCTCTCGGTCCATGTACACATCTGCATACAGCATCTGGAACCTGCAGGAGGCGGATGGAGAATGTGCAGTGGTCAGTTTAATAGTACATATAAACGCATTTTATATGCTCCAGTGTTGTTGTGTTTTTATATCAATATTAACACACAGATGGTCATACCATTATTATTTGAGACTTACCCATGCACATCTCTAACAAACTTCTCCAGCTGACGCGTTGATGCTTTAGCTTCGAAATGTTTGACTTTGGGCTCTCCATATGCCCCTATATCCACGTACAACTCCTCCTCTTGACCTTTGGGGTGAACCATCCCTCTGCCTGGTGGCAACAGGAATGGACACAGCCACAGAGGGTAAACCTGAAATAACACGAAACACGCAGGAGTTCAAGCGGGAGTACGTAATATGAGCAGAGAGTAGTGGTTTCATTCACATTGTGAGTCTTACATCGATGTCCTGGTGGAAGCGTGTGATGGCAGCCTGCAGATGCTTCATGGGTACCAGCATATCCTGGACCACGTGGTGCTGTTCATAAAGCCGTCTGATGGTCTCTCCCTGGGTGAGCTTCAGCAGTGAGATCTTAGGAGGAACCATCCATCCAAAAAGCCAGCGGAACACCGGGTTGTTGCCGAAGGGAATAATATCCTGAAGAGAGGACACAATACACACAGAGACGTAAACAAACCGGTTAAAAGACGACGCTAAAGTGGTTGGTCAGACATCAGAAATACTGTCACGTTGGCTTCATGTTGGAAATTTGTCACATTTTCCTACCTTGCAGCAACTGAATATGAACTCCACTGAATTTCATTTATAGCACTGAAATATTTTACTTTGAAAATCACCTATCTAGATATATTATTTGATTGATTTCTCTTCTTTCATCAAACAAATTCAAGGTCAGAATTTGGCTGCATATATTTAATTAACCTGAACATTTTCACAAATCTAAAAAAAACAACCATATATACAGTTTTTTAAAATTGCACCTGAAATGAAGGTAATTCAAGTAACATAAATTAAGATGCACGGTTTTCAGGGTAAAATATTTGAATGCTTTTATAAACACAGTGGTATTTAAATTCCAGTGTTAAATCTTCAGCAGAGATTAAATGTAACAATTAGATATTCAGTGGCTGCTAAAATTTAAATATCTTTATGGCCTTTCTTTGCTTCCATATGGGTGACTCAATGTTTAAACCTCTGCCCCATTCTCTATTTTATTTATTTTTTTAATCTAGGGATGAGCAATGTTAATACTGTCGAATCATCAAAACCAGTGAATTAAAAAGTATTAAATTCTCACCCCATATTATCATTTTATTTCAGCCTTCCCTGAAAAATAGATGAAATAGTTTAATCAAAAAGACCCAAAGACCAAATCATTTAATCTCACAATTACATGAATCATAAGCATATAATTGGCTTTCCCATAATATAGTCCTGAATTTGTACAGTAAAGATTTTTTCATATTATCTGTTCCAGCTTAATGTACACTGATACAGTCACATTACACTCCTCTTACCAGCCACCAGAGGGCAGCCACAACCCTCCAACCTGCATCCAACACTCACATCAGCACAGCAACTAAGTCTATCACAAATAGTCAATCAATGATTTAATCAAAGCACTGGTCAGCCCTATTTCTGTCTGACTTTCCTCTGCACGGTCTTCAAAACAAAAGCCTTTCAAAAACACCCAATGCTCAGAGCCTCTCCTGCAGATATCTGTCAAACCAATACTATGCATAATTCATCACACCATTTACTGTTACAGACAACAAAGGATGCCAAGCCCTTCTCACTAATGGCTAATGGTGTGTGTGTATATGTGAGTAAAGAATGTGTGTGTGTGTGTGTGTGTGTGTGTGAGACAGAGAAAGAGCATTAGAGTATAATAAAGAGAAGTGAGCAGGAAGATGATAAGATGATGACAAGCTAAAATCTGGCAGAAATATGCAGTCCCTTAATGGATATGTGGGTGTTCTGTGAGTACCTGAAGCTCCCAGAAGATGCTGCGTGTGTGTCTATGATAGTACTGTCTCAGAGGGATGTATTCAACTCCAGTCTGGTCGCCTTTCAGGTATCCCTCCACGTGTTTAAAGAACCAGGGTTGAAAGTGCAGGCCGATTCTATTAATCTGATATCAGGGAGGAAAAAGGGAAGGTTAGATGTCGTACAACATGTAAAAACAAGTCCAATGCGTGCAGACAAACACCTTACCTTATCAGGCTCAGCGTGGTCTGTCATGGTTCCCGTCATGATGACAGCGGTGTCCAGACTGTACTGGATGCCCTCGACAAATGTGTTCTGCTTGTTCTCTGATGCTTCAGTGAAGCGTTTACAGATGTTCTCCAGTCCTCTGACCGGCTCATAGCGCAGCTTCACCCAAGACTTAGTGGGGACTATTTTAATCTCAGCTGCCACCAGGAAGCCCAGAGTTCCACAGGACCATGGGACAGCCTGAAACAGGTCCGAGTTCTCCTCCTAGGTGACAGAAAGAAAAATAAACTTTCTATTTGAACAAACAGGACACAGATGTATGGCACGCTCTCAGTGATGACTGTGGTGTTGGCCTTCTTGGTGTCTAACGTTAGCTGTGTCTCGCATGTTGGGTTTACAACTAAACCATTAGCTAACCTCACAGCATCGACCATTTCATCTTCTCCTCAATGTGACCACTCTTTTTGCTTTATTTGTGGTGTGACAACACAGCATATTACCATTACAAACCACACTGCAACTCTGCAGCCTGTATCACAACTTCAGCGTAGTCTGGCTCTTGGTCAGGGACCATTCAAAGATGATTAGTGGGGGGGGGTATTTTTCTATATACACCAATATATCAGTTTTGATAAACAGTAAAAGTAAATGTGTATTATTATCATTAGTAGGGATGATCTTTCTAAAGAGTGCAAGATTTTTTTACTAGCCAACTGTTGCTTTCAATTTATTCTGCATTATAACATCAGTTAAAAATAAAATAAAATACCATACATGTTTAGTGTGACCCAACTTATGCTACTACTGTGTAAAACATTACAGTGCTGGGTCCTCGTTTACTTATTCAGTGACAGTGGTAATAACTGTTCACTTAGTAGCTCTTGGTTCAAAAATAGAAATCACCTCATCCTCATCCTCTGTAAACAGGATATGTTTAAATACATTTTGGCATTTGCGATGTCCACCAGTATAAATGTCACAATTATTGTTCTATTAACATTTTAATCTTGAAATCAGGGATGAGTTGAGAAAATACCAAAAGGAGTTTTTTATTTCTAAGTCAAGCAGAGGGTCCAAACCAAACCATTAATAACCATGCAAGAACATCAGGCTCCCTTTGTACAATCCCTTATATCTAGCTTTACTGAGCCTAACATTAGAGGTGCAGGACAACCGGTATCACAAAGCTGGTTATCAACAAGCTCAGTTAACTCTGGGCTTTCTAATCCAGCTACAAGCATGTTCATGTGACGAAGGAGGTGTTCTTAATTACATGCAGTATCGTCAGAACCATGAGTGGAGGACTTAATATAATATGAATATGAGATGAAATGGTGATACCCCTGGGAGAAATTAGATTACTATAGTGGGAAAAAAGTGATTCTCATAAAATAAATACAGTGTAACCACACAACAGGAATAGAAATAAACAGTGGGAATAATATCCACATATTAAAACTAAGCTTTTCAACATTTTCAGTAGTTTTGTTTTGCCAGAATGAACCTAAAATTATAGATAAAAACAGTTCAAAGTGATGTAAGCATTTCTGCTGCCAAGGCAGAGAGGTAAAAGTGGTCAGAAGGCCTGTGGTGATGGTGATGATGTTACCATGGTAATCCCTGTTTAATGTGAGCCACCTTGTTGATAATGGAAAACCTGAGTCAATCCCAAAGATGGGCCACTGTTGTCACTTCACAATACAGGCCCCTGGACTCAGACACACACATCACACACACACACTCTCAATACTCACCTCAGTGCAGCGTACTAAGCTTCCATCAGCTAGAACCAGCTCATATGCGACACAGATGTGCTGAAACAGCCCGTAAATATGAGAGGAAGACTCGATGCCTGTACCCATCACCAAACCACCTGAGAGAGGGAGAGAGAATACAAGATTTGTTCCTGGTAATTCAATATCTTCCCATGTGAGACCAACAGCAGGCAAACAGACAAAGCAGTGTTTGCCTGCTGTGAGTGAGTATGTATGTGCCTGCGTGGACATCAGGATAACTGAATGTACCACGGCCTGATGGGAAAACATTAGATTGTTGATGCGCAGTTATGGCATCAGGAAATCCATTATGAAACCCGATCCAGGGGTGCTTCCAACACTGCAGCCATTTCCTCCCAGTTTCATCTTTTGAGCTACAACATCAATCCTCTAACACAATTAGAGAAGTCGCTAAGGCCCTGAACAGGATGCAGTGATTGATGGAGGAGATGAGCGATCTACATCACTGAACAATGAGCGTTGGAAATCATCAGCACATGTCTCTATTTCTAGAAATCTGGGAGCGACACATGATGCCACTCTGTGATGACTCTCCAGAAACTGTTCCTCAGTAATACAGTAACAACATACCCACAGTGAGGTCGTCCAGCTCGGGCAGCACTGGCAATGTCCAGCCAATAGAGTTGAGGAGAGCGGTCACCTGACCCATATTGGCCAGCGGCTCAACTCTGACCACCTAAAACACACAGATCACTGTGAGCAAGGGTCTTCCATCAGACTGACAATACAAAATCCAGCCAGGTACATTTTTATGAGAAATAAGAGTGTAAACTGTTGATTTGTGTCTTCGTGTAATCATTTGTAGGAGTTAATAATAACATTGTGTTCACCAGATTAAATGCTACTGAGAACTGGGAACATGGTGACATAGTTGAACAGTTAAGACAGTCAGATGGAGTCAGAAACACATGCAGTCTGACTAAAAACCCCCAGATCAGCCATATTTATTTGGATGAAAAAAATAGTAGTAGATAGTAGATAGATAGTAAACTGTATAATAATTAAGCCCAGGTGTCTCTTCAGATAAAGTGGTTTAAATGTGCTGGCTGTTGGCTTGCTGACAACCTGTCAGATCTTCTGACTCCTAGGCTCTACTGCCCTGTTGAAGCAAAGTCCCTGTGTTTCCAGGATTAATGCTGCACATAGCACAGTGGTGCTTTGAGCCAAATGCTAATGTCAGCATGCTTATTCAGATGTCTAATGTTTAGCAGGTATAATGTTTACTATGTACAGCTGAGACTGCTGGGAATAACACTGGCTTTGAAGTCATAATGTAAGTACTGGATAAATTCAGGGGAAAACTTTGACTTGTTAGATGAAAGGTTGGAGGATCACCAGAGTCAGTAGGAGTATACCTCTGGGCACTATAGATATCTGCACTGAATATCATGACAATCCATCTGATAGTTGTTGAGATATTTCTGTCTTTCCAGAGAAATGATGCTAGTGTGGCTTAAAATAAGACCCAAGTTGGAAAAAAACTGACTCATGCTTCAGATCTCCAAACTACCAAGAATGGCTTATACCCTAGCAGAAACAGCTTCCTATGAGCACCTCATTTATAAGATAAACAATAAACTGGGTGTTTTCTTATTAGGGACCGAGCCAGCGACCGCTGGAAGGTTGGATAGTCTTATAAAAACAAACTGTAGATGAAGAGTTGAGCTATTTGTGACTGTACGTCTAACCGCATGCCAGTGACGACTTGTCGAATTCAGACGATTTGCCATTAAACAGTACTCATAACTTCAGTGTGCAATATCCGATCTCTAATAAACTTCATATATTCTCTAACAGTCTCGCCCTGAACACGTCCTCATAACTTTACATGACAATATTCAGACATTGTGATAGCGACTGGCAACAGGAAGCAACCGCTGCCTGGCGATTTTGAGCTGATTTACGTGAGATTTTCATGTCGTGGTCCGTACGTGTTACGACGGCATGTGACGCGGCCGCAGCACGCCCCTAGTTGCGTGGAGTGCGAGGTCCCGCCCAACGCTGCTTGCAGCTTTAATTTTATTTTATTTCTCCTTTGTTTTTGAATATTTTGCTTTTCAATATACATTTGTTATTTTGTTATCTGTTATTTTATGTTATTTTATTGGCTATGGGTCAAGGTGTTGTAGACATGTTTCTTAAGGGAACAATAGAGTAAAAAGCATGATTCAAAAAGATCACGTGTGTAGCTACGGTACTCTGTATGGGCGTATTTCACAGCAGACATTTTAACGTGTCAGAACAGGAAACACACAGGTGTAATTAATAACATTAATAATGGCTGCATTCCCTTTAGGTTTAACAGTTTCAGGACCAATGTTGTTGAAAGGTTTAACTGGGACCCCTCATTGAACTGAGCCATCATTAATGTTAAAATTTGCAAAACATTAGTGAGCATGATTTGTGTTTGTTGAATCCTCCTACCTGCCTCTTCGTGTCCACCTCCAGAATGTCCATCATATTGATCATGATGTTCTTGTGGGTTTTCTTGTATTTCCCCACTCTGAGAGATACAGTGAGCCAGCCGGGTCGACCCGTACACATGTAGGTCTTACTTCCCTCCTTCCTCCACTCACGCACCTGCAATGTGTCAAAATACATGACACAGAGAAGAACAGGTTATTATCTTCAAGGCTGTCTGAGGACATTTTTGGCTTTTGTTATTGATGTAAGTTTCTGTCTTTCTCTCTCTACCCTCAACCCCCCTTCTCTCCCTCTCTCTCAGCTGCCCATCTATAGCCGGGGTCTGCTCCAGGTGTCCTTGCCACCGTCACCAAGTGCTTGCTCATGGTGGGAACTGTTGGGAAATTTATAAGGAGTACGGTCTAGACCTGCTCTATTTGAAACTTTGATATAACTTCTATGCTATACAAATAAAATCGAAATTGAACTCAAACTATGTTTTGTGAATGCTGATAAACTTCACTATTCATTCATCCCACTACTGTGAGCCTGTACGTTTCCTTCTTTATTACCTTAGAGTCCAAATGGTTGGCTAAAGCTCTCTCAGACTCTGTACACCTATTTCATCATACTCCTTTTAGGAACCGAGGCAAAAGGTCAGTCTTGTCTGCCTCTAATGAATATAACTAAAGTGCAGCCAGTTCTGCAGATATTGGGAAAACAACACCCTCTATGAGAGTTACACATCAAGAATATGTTTTATAAGACGTGACAGCCATGGCAAGACTGCACCAGTCCTTCAAAGGTAAATAAGTAAGCATAAATAAAACTCTTGTGTAATGATAGATTAGTGAGTGACAGGTCAACAGCGATAAAGCAACAGCACCAACGTTTGAATTCTTACATCATAATGTACTTCTATGACCCCATATACAGGCTGTCACATAACTGAGCACTATCACCTTCTCATTTGAAACACAAGTTTTTCATTACCCATGATTCCTTGCAAAACACATGCAATATAGGCTATTCCTCATTTTATTCATCATGTAGGAACTGGACCTGTATGTAAGCACTGGTACAGGATTTGAGTATCACTTAAGTAAACCTCCATTGGGTTAAACGTTGATCCATTTATTCTGTGTTGAGCTGTGTTATACCATTCACACATATCCCTAAAATGATCTTAAGGCACCAAATGAGAATAAGCAAACAAACTGCACACACACACACACACACACACACACACCTAGATACACACACAAACACACACACACCTGGATACACACACACACACACACACCTGGATACACACACACACACCTGGATACACACACACACCTAGATCACACACACACACACACACACACACACACACACACACACACACTTGGATACACATACACACGCATACCTGGACACACACACACACACACACACACACACACACACACACATTGTCAGACGATGATGGCTCACCTGTCGCTGGATGTCTCGCACGCGCTGGTCGTGCAGTTTTGGCGCAGAGCACATCTTGAAAATGAGCCACGCACGCACATAATAATACACATCAAATATGACGGAGAGAGGCAGCAGGAACAGGCACACAAATATCCATCTCTGGTGAACGATCACGTAATCTAGACCTTTGACTTTGATCCACAGCAGGAACATGACGACCACGCCGGCTAAATACAACAGCGGATCCATCGTTTCTGGACAGATCCGACCCGAGTGTGCACGGTCCCCAAAACTAAAAGTATCTGCTACACTTCTTAGTTAGACTTCCACTAAACCGCATTGATTATTCCAACCCCAAACCCGATCACCCCTTCACTGAGATAGAGTAAAACCGCACTCATTGGTTAAAATGACTAAGGGGGCGTGACCGCGCTCCAAAGCTTCGCGCTCATTGGTCAAGCGAGTGGCTGTGTAGAATTGTAGAGCTGTAGCCTTTCTGAACTTTAACCAATCATAAAGCACAGAGGCTGTCACACCATGCCCGCTGTCCGCATGGCTCTGTTACATCTGCCCACATCAGCCACTGAGGAAGGCTGAGGAGTAACAGAGTTTACAGTAATCACACACACGCGCACACGCACACGCACACACCAGTCTCATTACACCTGGCTGTATCAAACTCTGTCCCATTCAGTGCATGGACACTGGCACATATGGAACTGATTTGACTATATGCTGTCAATGATTTGACCCATCGTTGTTCCCTTTTATTTTTATTTTTGTCCACTTTTTTTTAAGGACACATTAAACTCTGATAAGCTGCCTTTTGTCCATATTGTCAGTAACCATAGTCATGCTCTAAAAATACTGGTGATGAGTTGCTTCCCCCACCTAACCAAAAAAGGTTGTTTTTAGTTGTTTGGACTTTTTGTCATTTATTTTATATGCTTATCTAAATGTTATTGTATTTTTAGCCAGCATGACTAGACTGAAAACTGTCGGATGGGTTGCTTTGAATTTTGGTTCAGACATTCATGTTCCCTTTTAGGCTGAATTGTAAGAACTGATGGTGCCACCAATAGCCAACTTTGGTTATCTTTTTTTTTGTTTTATTTGGTCTAAAATGTTTTAATACAGCTTACCCAATCTATAAAAAAATTAATCTGCCTATAATATTCCACTAATTGTTTTTGTCTTTCAAATTGTTAAGTATAAACTCTCTCCAGGTTGCTAAAACTGATAAAAAAATCAGATACAAAATCACAAAAAATGACAAGTACTGGAACAGATAGCCTAATATTACTATAAATAACATTGCAGGGATTCACTGCAATCACTCCATGTCAGGGATGCTGTTACGACTGATCTTGTGAAGAGGATTGTTAACTGTCTCTGGCCTGCAAATAAAGTGCCAAAAATTCAGCTCTATATTTAAATTTTAAACCCAACAACATATGAGGGCACAAAAGCATCTTTGTCTGTTGATGTAGGCCTATGTTCCACTCTGTTTCATGTGCAGTATGGACATGTATGTTCTCTCTCTCTCTCTCTCTCTCTCTCTCACACACACACACACACACACGCACACACACAGGGCTAAAGTGGTACCCTTCAGACACATTAGACAGAGGGAGGGTGGGGCGCCAGTAAAGATTTCTTAATGGGCTCTGCCGTCCTCTCGTCCATCTGCCCTGATGATAAACACAGCTACTCCACATTGGCCTGATACGCATCAAAGCTTTCATCGCTGATTTTCTCTTTATTTACCAACAAACCATTCATTTGATCACTTTTTCCGGAGCTTGGAGATCTACATAGTGAGGACTTATCACTTGGACTTTATCACCAGCAGTTTTTCTAACAGTATGGGAGATGGACATTATGGGAACACATAAGTAAGATTCACTGAGCCTTTCCCTGTCATAATAGGACCTCTGTGACTGTGGAGTCATTTATTTGGATGTCTGGTCAGTGTCAGAGCGCATGGGGAGCGCACTCTGCGGGGCTGCTTGTACGTGAGTGACACTTCCCTGCCGGTCCCAGACTTTACAGTAACCTCAGAAACAGTTACGGTCCCGGAGGAGGATGCCTTCCTTGCACCACGGAGCAATCTTCATCGGAGCCTTCCTCATTGTGACCGGGGGCTCCACAGCCTTCCTGACCTCGTCCCAGAGCCGCCTGCAGGCTTTCTCCCTGTGCTGCGTGGTGCTTGGGGTGGTCATGCTCATCCTGGGGCTGTTCTGGGCCATGAACAGCAAAAGTGCCGCAAACTACAACCAGCGGGAGTTCGACCCAGAGTGTCCACATTATCCATACAACGACTACCCCAACTTCGGCAGCCATGCCCTCTTCACACCGCCAGGGAGCCGCTTCCCAGAGTCCCAGTCAGTGTTTCTGCCCAGGTGGGTGGGGGAAAAATTACAGTTTAGATGTATTACTGTTGCTCTGGTCAGTCTGTATTTGTAAGTATGGCCAGTTTGATCCTGAAGCCAGAAAATGAGACTTCAACTGCTGATTTAGGTCTATTACATGTCAATTCATAGAAAACCAGTTTAGTTAACCCAAAGAATAGATTTTAGAAACACTGTGACTGTCCGCAGTGCCATATTGTCTGATTCAGTCTTCCTGTAGTACTGTGTACTGTCAATGGTTGGCTCTATATTTGATGACATCATAGGTTCAGTAATTAGTTGCAGGGGCCTTCAGAGACAGAGCTGTTCATTTTGTTGCACCTTTTCAAGATAAATGTCCACTTTGACTTCCTTTCTCATACATTTTTCAAGAATATATGATCCTTCAAACTTGAGTGACCAAAATGTACCCTCCTGCAGGCTGAGCCCTGGATGGTACAGTGCTGGATTGATTGTATCCCATTTAACGCTGCCCACAGGCAGGACACGCAGCTATCTAAATATAATTACTACAAAATAGGAAGACATTTTAGGAATTACACTTATTTGCTTTCTGAGAGAGAAAGTTAGAGAACATTCCTACCACTCTCATGTCTCTATGCTAAATATGAAGCTACTTCTAGCAGTTAGTTTAGCTTAGCATAAAGACTTGAAACAAGGGGAAACAACTAGCCCGGCTCAGAAAATGTCAAAACAACAAATATGGGGGTTATGTATACGACTATTTCTTGTTTGGGAATGGGAAACCCAATAAGATGGTTAATTGTTGTTTTTTCACACTTGTTTTTTTTGTAGGGATTAAAGATACAAGATATTGTCTATGTCTATTGATTAGGAAGCTTTAGAAGTACTGGTAAATTGTATTACCTTTGGACGGAGCCAGGTTAGTTTCCCTATGTTTCCAGTCTTTATGCCGAGCTAAACTAGCAGGCTTCTAGCTGTGGCTTCATATTTACCACACAGAGTAGTGGATTCAGGATTTCATTTTAAACAAAACAGGTGATTAGGTCCTGCTAAGTAAACCTATGGAAAGAAACCCTGTGTATACATGGCTCATGGTACCAGACCATGGCTTTGCATCATCCTGCACAACCAAGATGTCCGTTTTACTTTAGTGAAATCCAGTTCCTGTATTTCATGACTATTCTGAACGTCTGTGTTTGCTCTGGCCTCATAAAGTGTTTTCCCATGATTTCTGACTGCCACTGTTTTCTCGAGCGCAGGACAATGGAGCGCCACAGGCAAGTTGCTCGTGGTGAGGAATTCGACTACCCTCCAATGGACCCTGGGGGGTTTAGTCCATCGCCTCACCCTCCTCCGTGGCTGGAACCCCCGCCTCCCTATGAGGTTGCCATCAAGACCACGTGCAGCTCTACACACCTGCGGCGTGCATACTCAGACACACACCTGGCAACAGAGCCCCTGTTCGGACAGTCAAGAGAGATCAGCTTTGAGGTGTGACGGTGGACGATGGGGACCTCATCAGACCAAAAAATGAATAGGCACGAGACTGGGGCTTTCACTCAGACTCATTTTATCAAACACTTGAAGCATGCTTCTTTCTGCTGTTGACCAGTGCTAGTCCTAGCATGCATTTCCCCTGAGTTTTCTGTTAGTGCAAAGAAGGTGTAAATGCATATTTAAATATATAGAGAAATTAAAGGTGGATTACACCAAATTCAGCCTTATCAGACCAACATAAAGCACCAAGACACTTTTTGTCTTTATAGAGAGTGTGGCTGCTACGAGCCACCGTTTTACTGTATCTTGAGTGTTGTTTTGAAGCGATGTGATAATATTCTTTCAATCACCCACAGGTACTCAGTTGGATTGAGATCAGGCTGGTATTCTAGACGTTCAAGGAATAGTTCGCCATTTAGGGAGATTCACTTATTTGCTTTCTTGCTGACAGTTTGTTGAGAATATTGATACCACTCTCATGTCTGTTTATTGAATATGAAACTACATCCAGGAGAGGGTTAGCTTAGCTTAGCTTAGCATGAAGACTGGGAACTGCTAGTTCGGCTATATCTAAAACTAACAAAGTATACCTACTCTTTTCTCTAAAGCTCATTAATTCAAGTTACACCATGTTTGTTTAATCTGTTCAGAAAATGTTTTTTTTGCGAGGACTATTTTTAGGCAATTCATTATGACTTCCACTCTTGATGCTAAGCTAACACAGATTAATGCTTATTTTATAATCTGTTGAAAAATGTAACTGCAGTCCTTGTTTCAAATAACCTTTACTTATTGATTCTAACTATTATATTAAGCTGGTGCGCCTAACATTGGTAACGGCAGTCTGTCACCTGGAGCCTGAAACAGGCAGCGGTTAAGAGCACGTTAACCTGCCACATACAGGTTAGTTTAAGGGCATCAGTTGCCATGGTAACAGAAGCACACAGGAAATCCAGGATTTCCTTTAATGTCAGCTCAACAAATCTAGATAATGGGATAATCCACCTTTCTGGGGTTACCCCGGTGAGAGCAGAGGACCATTTTCCTTGTTTTCTCGTCCTTCAAACAATGCAACGCTCCTTTGCTCTCTGTGTCAGAATCTTGAACAAATGTTTTTTTCATCAGGATTAACATGCTTCGTCACAGGATGGATATTATAATTCACTTTAGGAAACTAGCGCTCAGGCCTGTAGACATCTTTCAGTTTGTGTGCCACACATGTACTCATCAGCTTGTTGAAAGCAGGGGGGGAACGATGACTCATCTGACCATATGAGTTTTTCCACTGCTCTCTAGATCGCTGCAGCTCACTGGCAACACTGCCTGAGCTTTAAGTATCACAACCTGACCTACTGTAACTAAGCCCTTTATTTTAAAGGATCATATCAGTGTTTTTGCATATTTTAAAATTCATGTTACAGTACATTCTTTTTTGTAATTTTTTTTATGTTTTTTCTTACTTCCAAACATTCATTAATATCAATATATTTCAATGCAGTGTGCAAATCAACTTGCAGAGACTTTAAACATGTTTTGGGGAAGTTCATTAATCTAAGTAAAATCTATACTTGTTTCTAAAACTTCTTTAGACATTCAGGTGCTGGTGGGAATATACAACAAATGAAAAAAGTCAAACATGAAAGTTGAGAGAAAAGTGCATTTTGGCAGCCATCTCTCAGTTGTGGAAATCTTGCATATTGGAGCTCCCACCAGGACATGACTGCACCAGGAGGATTTTAGTTCATTTTTTTTTTTCTTTTTCAGTGGAAACAAAAAAAGGAACACTCCTTCGAGAAAAACGTGCACCAAATGAAAGAAATCAAATGTATAACAAATCTTTGTTAATCACAAATAATTAAAGAAATCAAGATGATGTGATAATCACTTTTAACCACACAATAATGAAATTAATCAAATTTGAAATGCACAAAAATCCAAGTATGTAATTTATTGTAAATAAACAATTGTAAAACTATGCAAAAACGCGAGAATGATCCTTTAATTATTTTTTGTTTTACATAGCAGTCTTGATCAACTGCTGTTTCTTCACAGTTGCAAAATACTGGCTCATGAAGTTTGTCAAAAAGGAATACAATGATGGATCATATGTATTATTGTCAGCCTTCATTTGGGGGCTACTGTATACTGAATTATTTGTGTTCAAGTCCAACAGCCTTCATGACCTCTAAAATAAGATGCTGCACTGAACTGATGACCACAAATACACTGCTGTGATCTTTGACAGCACAAGGACGACTGATTTCAACCGCTCTGATGCGCGCCACGCACGCGCACACACACACATACACACACACACACATAGCACAGCTGCAACAGGAGAGCTGATATGAATCACAGGATTACAGATGATCCACCGTGTTGTTCAGGACTGTTCCTTTTATACCTCTATGCATGCTTTACTCTTGGAAAAGTCAACTCAAGGGAGCACCTTGCGCAATGTTTTTAATGTATTCAACTTTATTTAATAAATCTGTGATTAATGACACAATATCAGACTCGTTAACCAAAAAGGATTATTGGAAACCTGCAGCAAGTGAATATCAAGTCTTCATCTTCACACTACACAGTGTGATCTGAGGATTTGATCTATTGCTACAGTGTTAGGATGTAATATGTAAAATGGGCTGAATTTGGGGGAAATGTGGATGAAATGATGCACAGCACTTCAGAATATCTCAATCTGAGGTAATGTGTCTTGGGTTTCAATGTAGTTTCAGCCTCCTAGGTGTGGGGACATGCATGCACATGCAGTATAAGGAGGAAAATAATCTCTCCACGAGGTCCATTTAGCAGCTGCCCTGGAGCTTTTGATCATATCACATAATCTCCATCAGAAGATAGGAGTTTCAGAGCATTTTATCTTATTTGTGATGAGACTGGTTTCTCAGTTGGTGTTTTCAAACTCAACAAATGGCCTTTGAACCTCAGGTTTCAACCCAACACGGACCAGAAGTCCCTAAAGTTGTCAGGCAAACGATGGAGTAAGTATGAAGTAAAATGATCACTCTGTAGTCTGTGTTTTTATCATCTACTAATAACCACAGGTAATAATGGACACAGATATATTTTATAGTCTAAAAGTGTGAAAGGAACCTGACTGAGTGCTACATCATGCTGATTGTGAGGACGGTGAGTGAGAACAGATCCCACCATTGGGTTTGAAAGGCAGTTCTGTAGGTTTCTCAGCTGTAGAGCCAAATTATCGCTCATAAACCAAGAGTGATTGATATTTGCCATTTATGATAGTGTTAAACATTTAGCAATGGGTGGAATATAAAGGAGCAGGAGATAATAACAGACACACAAATATTGTATATTGTATTTCATAGGCAGACTGCAGAAATGTGATCTCCCATCTCTGTTTTACAACCGACTGCAACTGCTTCCTGAAGATCCACACAGAACCACAACCAGAAAATGAAGACAGAGGTTCATGAAATATATTTAATACATTTTACTGAGTTGTTACATAGGGAAACCGATCATATTGTACTGTATGTTTTCTTACAGCAGGGGTGTCCAAATGTTTTCCCCTTGAGGGCCAAAACTTAAACTAAATGGTGGGCCACAGGCTCTGCCTTGTTAAGATTATGAAAAATAATTAATAATAAGTGAATTCTACAACTTTAAAGAGCATTTTCACCTCAAGAAAAATAAGACAGCATAAACAAGTATTTGTATTATAATTTTTTTTTTATTAATTGTTTTACAGAAAAAGAAAAATCCAGTTGTTTTAATGCCCACAGTACACACTGTTGCCCTAATAGGGTGGGGGTGGCACTTTTGGATACATTTAATATAGGTGATCAGATTTGAAGAGAAAAGAGTAGTAGCAGTAGATAGTTACAGGGACATTTAAAGAGATATTTACAAGTTCAAGTTGAAGAAGTTTAAGAGTAACAGGATAAAGGCAGATTTAGTCCATAGTTGCAATATTTGAGGCATCTGCTGTCACAAATGGAGAGATCATGAGCAGCCAAGTGATAAGATAATAAGTTGATAAAAGATTTGCGCTGCGCGTTAACCTCCTCTCCTGCTTTTTCATAATCAATACAATATTAAGCCAGTCATGTCCTCCTATAGCCCCCCTCCTGTAGGCTTGTGAAGACTATGCTGCTCCACCCCCAGCAGAGCTCCACATCAGCTCAACAACACTCTGCTTTTTTTGTGTGTTTGCACAGTTTATCTGCTCATACATATATTTCTCTCAAACAGCTTGCCCAAACAGAGGCAAAGGGACAATGTTCAGCCCGCCCTGCCCCTCCATTCCTCGTCACTGAAAAACCCTTCCTCATAAAGAAACAAAAAAACACTTCCTCACACTGCACGGCTCTGCTGCTGTGACCAGATGGAAACCAAACAGTGCCCGGCCCACATGCGACATCAACTCCTCTCTAACAGATTTTTGGTGCCGTAATCACTCCAAAAAACCGGATATGCTTGTTGTGCGGGGAGAGAAAGCGACGCGGCGGTGGAGCACAGAATGAGAGAGGCGCGGCGGGGGCGCAGGATACAAGGACTGAAGCGGAGAGACGGGTTTTTTTTGGGGGGGGGGTTTCGGGGCTGGGGAGGACGCCATACGGGCACGATGAGCGCAGTGAAAGTTGAAGAAGAGGAGAAAAGAGATGGTCAGGCTTTGAGTCCACGTATCCGCTGAACAGCGACTCCCTATCAGGTAGGGGGGGGTCGATGTTTGTGGAAACCCGCACGGACGCACTCTGGCGCGCAGAGATGATTTACATGTGGCATATGTGCGTGTTATTAACCCCTGCAGTCTGCTCCCTTTTTCCTTCTGCTTGCGTGTTCCCTCTTCCTCTATTTATCACACACACATACACACACACACACACACACACACACACACACACACAGACACAGACACACACACAGACACACACACAGACACACACACACACACACACACACACACACACACACACACACACACAGACACACACACACACACACTCCCAGTGGATGCTGTGTATCTGAGCCCTCTCCTCTCTCTCTCCTGCAGACTGGCTGCTGCTGAAGTGGAGGCGCTGCTTTAGCTGGAAGAAGAAGTCAGTTTCTAGAAAGCAGTAGGGGGCTCCGGAGATGCCGCTCCCCCCCAGGACACTGCTCTGTCTGGGCATGCTGCTGATGACCGCTGGGGGGGTCATGGTCCTGTGCCTGGGCCTGCCCCAGCAGTCGGGCCCTCTGTTTCTAGTCGGGCTGTTCATGAGCCTGGGCGGCGTGGGCCTGCTGGTCAGTGGACTCTGCATGGCCATGAAGAATCTCCAGGTGGCAGTGCCCGGACACTTCCTCCTGCACCCGCGCACAGGCACGCGCTTCAGCCCGCAGCAGGCCCTGGCTATACAAAGGTACACGTGCACGGAGGAACATGACTGAAGGCTAAACCATATAAGAAAGTGTGTGGGTGGGGGGGCTTTAGGCTAGAGCCAGATCTTTTTGGGTTTATTGTTTCTGTCAAAGGAGTGTGGGATAGCAGGGAGCAGTGGTTTCCTTCAGAAGGATGTGATGGGATAAGAAAGAAAGATTTTATTTACTTGTTTTTACTTTTTCTCTTATCTTTTTTCATGAAATACTGGTTAGTTTCACACCTTTTAACATCTCACAAGACAAAAAGTCTGCTAGCAGCTCTGTAGGCAGTAGGCATGGTGATGCTTTGATCTCAATACAAGTTCAGCATTCTGCCCACAATGATAATGGTAACATGCTGATGTTCAGCAGATATGATTATTTTATATTAGTGTGTGAGCATGCTAATTAGCACTAAACATAAAGTACAGCTGAGAATGATGGAAATGTCACTTTAAAGTCTAAAAACATCTAGATATTTAAGATATTTATAAGATTATAAGATAAGTACTGGACAGTGAAATTTTGACCTGAATGTGGTGCTGAATATAACATTAAAGGATCGCAAAATATATTACATTTCCTACTGAGGAGGACATGAATGCATGTGCCAAATTTTGTGTTAATCCATCCAATAGTTGTCAAGATATTTCACTCACCAAAAATTAACCTTGTGGTGGGGCTAGAGGAAAAAGTCATGAGATCACCAAATTCATTAGGAACCATGAATGTACCTAAATGTTGGCATATTTCTGCCTGGACCAATGGGGTTTGATCCACCAATATTACTACTCATAGAGCCAGGCTAACATGATTAAAAGGTTTGGAGACCCCTGGCAGAGTGCAGAGTTAGACAACCCCTTTTTAAAGATACATAAACCAATCACTCTATCTCAAACATTGGAGCGAAGAACTTTTCAGGCTTCCCTTGTGTTGTTCAAGATGAATAAACACGCATACAGACGAATGCCAGAACACACCATCCAGGGAGACGAGCTGACAAACGGTCTTGTTGTTGAACAGATCTCTTGGACACATCACCACATATTAGTCACAGCGCACACTTTAACAAAGCGCACTGAAACACATTAGGAACTTGAAAACACTGGACTTATGAGAATCAGAAAGGAACCGATTTTCTGAGTATGAACTGATTATAGAAGTAGGTCATGAAGAAAGTAGCAGAAACACATGCATGTGGCTGACAGACTGCCTCTGGCATCGTCTGCGGTAATCTACAATAGCCCTGCAAATGTCAACAAGACATGCTCTGCTCATTGTCCAGCACTGAGGAGAAGAGACACCAGGAGCACAGTTTCCATCATCAAGGATTTTTCTCCCTCCTGATGAAACTCAGACTATCTTTTTGGTTAAAATGTTAGTTTGAGGGATTGGAGAATGATGAATTAAATGATGGCAGGGGAATGGTATGCAAACAACAGAATGCATTTCCTGAAGGAAATGTGTGAAAGCTGGGATCTGAAATGCATTAAAAGCTTTAAAAGGTGGAAAAGCTGTGAGTTAAGTAGCCGCTGAAAGAGTATGAACTGTAGGAAGAGTATTTAAAATAGGGATACAACGATTGGGAGATTCTGGGCCAATATCGATGTTTAAAATAGCAATTTGGCCGATAGCCTGTTTTTTTTTTTGGTTGTTATTCTCCCTTTTGTTCCAGGGAGACAAATAAATCTACAGATAAGCATCTCTGCCATGTTGCAGCTAATTCGATTTCTCATCCAAGATGTAAGACGCAGCACTGAACAGCTGCACACTGTCCGTGCTGCTGCATGCAGCACAGCGGTGTGCTGGAAAACACAAGTGATTATTTCTCCAATATCGCAAAGTGCAAAATTGATGCGACACAACCGATAAACACAGACCACTGACAACGGTGAATGCCATCTTGTTTGCCGATAGGCCGGTGTCAGTCAAAAAACTGGTGCATCCCTAGCTGAAATAATAAAAGAATGAGAGAAATGAGAATTTACTGAAATAAAGTGTAAATAAGTGTAAGCACTTAAAAGAGCCGAGGTGCGTGATCACTGAAAGGAGTTGGCCCTTGGTTGCAGTGTAAGCACCAAAAGTTTAGTACACTTCTCACTGCCTCTCTCTCTCTCTCTCTCTTCAGGAGGTTGGACCGAATTCGTCGGGAGATGTCAGAGGACTCTGTCAGCAGAATACCAGATCCTGAACCCTCTCTCCCATCCACCCCTCCACCCTGGACTATGGAGCCACCTCCATCCTACGACACAGTGATGAAGAGCCAGGAGCACAGCGAGCAGCTTTAACCTCTCAACTCTGGCGGACATATGTAATTTGCATCTGTGCCTTTTGTCTTTGGTTCTCAGCGAGAACCTTGAACGAACAGTCGGTGCTATGGACGAACTCACTGGCCTCTTCTGTGCCTTCCGACAGCCGCCCTGAACCCAAACACAAGCCAAGAAACAGGAAGAGACTGCAGCTGGTTAAAGACTTCATATTTGTACAGACTGTGCCCCACTGTGGCCTCTGTGTCTACTAAAACTGTGTTGTGATTGATTGTGAAAGGAATTGAAATGATCACCACAACTGCTCTAACACTCTCTACACCAAGGGCCTTTCTTGAGACCAGCATTATGTAACTTTTACAACAAAGTCGAGGGAATCATGTCAACAGCTTGGCTGCAAGCCTCCTGCAGACATCTCATTAGGATATTTTTATTGGCCTGCTTGAATTTAATGTGACCTACTACTGTGGCTGCACTGCACTCTTCTTCAAACATGATAAGAACTTTCCTCACAGCTACTCTTTGTATCTGCACTCTTTCCTCTTATAATTTTATACGAGATTTATAGACAGCTCACTCCAATGCAAAGTGCCTTAACCGGTGACAGCAAAATGAAAAAACAGAACAGTGAAATTTATCTTTCAGCTTTGTATCCGGTGTTTGTATAATGTCCACTGTTCGTGCTATGTTGTGATGTTACTATAAACTTGAGTTAATGAATAGCTACAGGGCTCTCTGTGGGCGGTGTTGCACTTAGAAGTAATGGATTGTTTATTTTAAAGAGGGAAACCCCGGAAAAAGGCGGAGGAGGGAAATGTCAACTTATTTAAGATCATGTCCAAACATAAACGCTCGCTTGACTCAATACTGTTTAGAAGCTCGTTTGCAAGTCTCCTTTTGGCCAGCGCCTTGAGGCAAGGTGACCTATCAGGTACACACACACACACCTGCAATTTTATACCTGACCTGACCCGGCTGTCTGCAGGCTGTAATAACCAGCAGCGTGGAACCCTAACCCTCACCTTCAAGCCCTCATGCAGAACAACGGCAAGTCTTTCCTCACAGCATGACAGGTGCTTGAGTTTTAAGTTAAATTTGAGCTTCAGCAGCCAGTGGCGGTCACAGCCATGGTAGAGGGGAAACCATATCGGTACGGGCTGATAGTGGCGGGTCTGTGCGTGGCGGCAGTCGGCCTCTTCATCATGACTCAAGAGCGGCCGCACATCTATGCCACAATATGCGTCCTGGGTGTCGGCATGGTGTGTGTCGGGACTGTGTGGAGCCTCTGCCAGTGCTATCCCAAGGTAGATACAGACTGTGTGTGTCAGGGAGACAGACACAGGAAATGATGTGTGACTGCTGTAACTCAGAAATAGATTTGGTAATGTGTGGGGTGTGTGTGTTTGTTAGGTCATTTTGGCTCCTGAGATTCAGGAGAAAAGTCTAGAGGATCTAGTGTGTGCTACAGCTCAAGCAAAAGATGAAAGGTACTGTCTCATCACACACACACACACACACACACACACACACACACACACACACACACACACACACACACACACACACACACACACACACACACACACACACACACACACACACACACACACACACACATTGTCCTAATGGCCCACAGACAAGTGGGTGTTCATCCAGGCCTTAATTATTCCCTGCGGTTTGTCTGTATCTCAGGATGCTAAGGGACCATCATCTAGTGGGCGAAATGGCGACAGCAGCAGTGTAATGTGTCTGAGGGGAGGAAGTATCTGCACTAATACACTGTAGATACTAATTTTGTTATTGTTACAGGAAAATTAATGGTGATGTAATGGAGTGGCTATGGCAGCAGAGCAAAGGGGGGAAGTAGAAATGAGTTGTGAGGAGAGGAAAAGTGGAATAGAAGAAAAAGGAGAGCTGGTGGCCTGAAGGTTGTGACTGATAAGTGGAGATTATTGGAAACATGAGGGTGGAGACAGTGAATGAGTAACGCTCCCCTTTCCCATTAATGTTCCCTTCATGAAAGCACTCAGTTAGTATTATGGCCAGCGGGTGAAAAATTAGGTTGTTCCTTGCAGCTCCTGCATGTGAGCGTCTATAACTACATGAATGCTCAAAAGCCAGATAAAGAAATGCATGCTCAGCGAAACCCTCCCCCCAGATTAAAAAGTTATAAAATGAGGACAAAATACTAGAGCTAGACCTCTATTTCTGTCTCTCTCCCTCCTTCCCTCGTTTTGATTTAATTTTAGGCCTGCTGAGACTCTGCCAGGTTTCTGTGGCCAAAAGTGGAGTAGCAGCAGACTTCTTCCCGAAGCCCTGAAGAGTCAGTGTCACAGCTGTCCCACGCTGCACCTGGTCTGAGGGAGTGACGCCATCATCAGAGGACTTGGTCCAATCAGCACACTCCACCACACTGCTCTCAGGACAGGGAAAATATCCTCTAATTTTTCTGGTCTTTTACTTAATGACAGCACACATGGTGCTGTTTGAATGTGTTTTTATGGAAGTGACTGATAGTGTAATACTTTACTTTGTGTCAGTGTTAAGTTAATAAAGCTGAATGTGTATTGTGTGGTCCAGCAGATGGCACTATTTACTATATGAAGGAGTGTGTGTGTGTGTGTGTGTGTGTGTGTAGGTTTAGTATGCCTGAGTCACAGTGAGACTGCATTGGGGTACATTAATTCAATTAAGACAAAGTATTTTGGCCCCATAATATAACTCTATTCTAGCAACCTGCTCTCTTAAAGTTTCTACACATTATGTAAATACTAGTGGTGTGTGTTACACTAGTGAGGTCATTGCCTCATCTAAAACCATCAAGACTCAATCTCAGGGCTCTGTGTAGATATATTCTTCTCAAGAAGTACATTTACCTCAGTTAATGTTCGGAATGAGCAAACAGGCTGGATCCTATAATTCAACCCCGATTGGAAAAACTTAAAGCTCCCCTGATGAGTTTCTTGTAAACAAATGAGCTAAAGCAGTTTACATTAAGTGTTACTCACCAAAATGTAGTATATGTATCCCTCAGGCCTAACACTGAATGCATTAGCTACCAACTGTGCAAATACCATGAAACTGCAAACAGAAATGTGTAACTCATAAAAACTTTGCTCATCTGCGCTCCTAGTGGTCAAAAACTCCGCATGGTGCCTTTAATGGCACTGTTTTGATGCAGGCTCTGTCGGCTCCCAGCTAATCCAAAAATGGGCAAAGAGGTGGACCGTGGGTGGAGCTGAGACGGGCCGAATGAAGCCTGTGACAGAACCCACCTGTTACTCAAAGCAGGCATGCCCTTAATTATGCACAACTTTAATTTAAACTAACTTAACTCACTTCTGTCGCCAGCCACAAGTGACCCTTTAAGGAACTGCAGTTTTTGTTTTTTCCGCGTTGGCTTTATTTGCCAATGAACTAAAAGGTTAGTTCAGCCCATTATTTATTTATTAGTTTGCTGACATGAGAAAGCGATGGCTCTTTTTACACATACTTTCTGCGTGTGATACAACAAATAAAATAAATCAATAAAATAAAATGTAGTAGCATTTTAATACTCGACCAATCAAAAATGTTCAGCCCTGAAAGCCAAAGTTCCTGCACTTTTGGAAAGTGCTATCCCTGGGCAGGGACTTTTTGGGGGATAAAATGATTAATTTAGACCCTGGTCCCTGCAGTGGGTTGAGTTAGATAGAAGACTATTCTCTGCAAGTTCCTGCTGTGGAAACACGTCTATAGCGTGTTCACATTCATTCACACCAGTTAAGAGTCTGCTGACAATGACGGGCACAAACGCCACACAGATTCAAACCTAAAATCTTCTTGCTGTGAGGTGACAACATTAACCACTGCACTACCATGCCAACACATTTATCATTAAGACTTTATAGGGTTAATATTTCAGTCATAGCTTGTTTTGCTGCCCTCAAGTGGCCAAAAACCTTAGTTATTTTAAAGGTAAAGGCTGTTGTGTGAAGTGTGTATGCACATAATGACACAAAGCTGCTAATGCTATGAAATACATCAGAATGTAAACAATCACAATGTTCATTTTCTAAACAAATAGCCCCTGTCCCCCTGGCTTGCACAAAATCAGCTTTTCTGTCATTCTCCTCTACAGTAAGATTGTTGCAGTCCTTACTTAAGCCTTCTGTCAATGCCAAAATGCCGGATGTGCACTCCAGAGGTCAACATACATATTTGGGGTCAAAGTTAAATTTAGTTGAACTTTTGCTGCAAAATCAGATGGAAATATCATTAAAGCGTGTGCTGCTCTGGTTCACTCTCCATTGAAAATAATGCTCTTACTCTACGAAATTTCACATTTGTGAAAGCCCTCTCAAGCCCCAATGACATCATCAGGGTTATTTTCTCAGACAAAGCTCCCCAAGAGCCACGGAGGACATTGTGTAACAGTTTTCATAAACTGAGTACACTGAGTATAGAGATGGCCCTTTAAGTGCACTATATGTCTTAATAACTAGCTTCTCTTGTTCCAGTTTTCATTTCCACTGTATGGAACACACATACAATTACTGTTTTAAGAAAGTTGAACTGACACAGAGAGAAACAAAAGCTCTCTACACCTCTGAGCACAACTCAGCACCTTTTAAACAGAAGTGACCAAATTAAATAATTTAATTAATAAATAATCAAAATAAGTCTCACATGCACATAACAAAGGTATCTGCACTTGCAGGCAGAACTCACACTGTTCACATTAAGTGCAGATGTTAAAACATCATCAACAAATGAAGTTGAACTGGGAGGAAGTGTTTTTTAAGATTGACATGCAATAATTACAGGGTGGTTGGAGGGGAGCATGAAACATGACTCTCCACAGTAAGAGGTGTTTTTAACGGAGGAGAATCATTCGATACAAAAGCGGTGGCGTGAGCCCCGGAGACGTCAGCAGTCCCCGCCTTGAATTATAAGAATCAATTGTTCGATTTTTTTTTTTTTAAATTGCCCAAAATCAGAATAGATGTTTGGAGGCGTTATCTGACTGTCGGGCACACAGGACGCGCGGCTGTCGGAGACACAGAACATCTGGATAACAGAGACAGAAATAAAAGTCTCATTAGTGGATTTGGGTAATTTAATAGTTCTCCTGAATCGGTTCACTGGAAACAGTCCAAGAGGTTTGAAGAATGCGTCGCACCTCTGGCTGGATTGGCTGGGCTCTGTGTCTGTGCGCATCTTTGACCGTGAGCGCGCAGGACTACCCCGAGGACGACGAGATGATCCTGGACCTGATCCGCGAGGACGGGACTCAACCTGAAACCGGAGCCGAGCCCGCTGCTGAGTTCCTCAGGTGCAACAAGGTAATATTCACTGTGTCAGTGGCAGTGCTGGTGGACTCAGATCATTTACTCAGGTAAAAGTAGCAGTAGACTACCCCAGTGTGCCAATACTCCCTGCGTTCAAATGTTACTCCAGTAAAAGTCCAAAAGTATTTGCAGAAAAATATACTTTAAGTACCGGAAGTAAAAGCCTATTTCAGAATTAGAAAGTACATTATATTATTGGATTATAATCACTGATAAATGCGCGGATCACTTTAATCCTAATTACAGTGTATCTTAATCTATAATAATATATTTTATTTGTTGATTATATTTTGTATTATTAATCTGAATCTGTAAAGTAACTTGTAAATAAATGGATCAAATAAATGTGGTGGAGCAAAAAGTAAAATATTTCCCATTGAAATAGTGGAGTAGAAGTATAAAGAAACATAAAATGTAGTAAAGTATAAGCGCAGTACTTGATTACTCAGTGTACTTAGTTACGTCCCACCTCTGGTCAGCGCATCTTCTCTGCAAACAGCCCGTTACCGCCTGTTTGCAGACTGATCGTTTGGTCCAGTTTAAATAAAGCTACACTGCAGGGAGACACAGAATAACCGACATTTAAATGCACGCTCAGAACCTGGAAATCTCTTTTTATGTGTGCAGCATTATCAGGACAGCGATGGTCTGTGAGGCAACCAGGCGCAGAAATTAAACGCTTTATTCTCCATTATAACCAGCACTGAGTGACATTTTTAAAAACTTTTGGTGAGCATGCCTCATTACTCTTGTACATGCACTGGGACACTGCACCTGCACTAAATGTCCTCCGTGCCGTGCTTCAGGCGGCGTGGCGCATGCCCGGTCAGTACCTGGTCATCCTGCGTCCGGGAACGCACGAGTCTCACGTGCAGAGGACCATCAGGAGACTGAGGGCCAAGGCGGCCAGGAGGGGCTACCTGCTGGAGATGCTGCAGACCTACTCCGGAGCTCTGCACGGCTTCTTGGTCAAGATGAGCAGTGACGTCCTTCACCTGGTAACTGCTGCGGTTAACTTCTTGTCGCTGATCAATGTGAAGACACCAACTATCAGAATTCTAATGGAGCAATCAGAATCAGTCTATTAACTTATATCAACATTTCTGCATTTATTTGTGTTTTTAGAAGTATTCTGAATATTCACCCGTTTGAAGGTTTTTGTTTTCACCTCTTTAAATCACTGTGGGTGTAATGAGGCTTATTTGACACTAATAAAGGAAGACTCTTCAGTGTGCAAAACAAAACAAACAAAATAACCTCTACAAATTAATCTAAATTAAGTAAAAAATATAAATGACAAATAATAATAATAACCTGCATTACTTGTGCAATTATGATATCACACTTCAAATACATTGCTTTATCTATACAACAACATGCTTTACAGTAAAACAAGCATAACAATTTAAAAATAGATAAATTGTGAAGATTGCTGAGGTAGCTCTGATTCAACTGGAGGACATCAACTGGACATCCAGAAAATTGAAGACGTGTCAGTAGTACCGAGCTTTATTAGAACAGCTGCAAATCACCTGGATAACAGTGAATGTCTGTATTGTGTCAGTGGGTGATATGCCTTATCATGTGGATAGGAGACCCAGGAAAGACCCCTGGGGTACCCCCTCAAGTAAGAGGGTCACAAGAGGGGCAGCATCTTCAGCCATAACAGAGAAACACTGTGATTAATATCCCAAAATAAAACATGAAACCATCAAAAAGGGGTTACAATCGTGGGTGGACAGGTTCACCCTCATCAACTTCCTGTACTTTTGTTTTGCTTTAGACAAACAATAAAAGTTGATTTTGTTCCTGTCAGGCGGTGAAGCTCCCTCATGTCCACTACATTGAGGAGGACTCGTCCATCTTTGCTCAGAGCGCCCCCTGGAACCTGCAGAGGTTACTGCGGCCTCATGGTGGACCCTCTGAAAATGGAACATACAGGCCACCCAGTGAGTGTCTGTCTGTCTCTCTGTCTGTCTCTCTGTCTGTCTCTCTGTCACACACAAATTATATTTCAAATCCACTTGCCCTCTGTCCTCTCTAGATGATGGAGGGAAAGCGGAGGTGTATCTGATGGATGGCAGTGTTCAGAGCTCTCACAGAGAGGTTGAAGGACGAGTGCTCATCACAGACTTTAACAACGTTCCTGAAGAGGATGGAGTCAGAGTTCATAGACAGGTTACACACAGAAATACTTCAACAATACGTGCTCATTTGCCTTTGCAGCTCAGGAGCAA